ACCCGGAAAGGAATTTATCCTTCTGTCAGCTACTAACCGTTTGAACAAATGACTTAAGTATCTAGGATATTAATATCATATTCATATCATCATCTTCGACATCTACGACCAATTTCTACAATATCGTTCAGCAAACAAACGAATGACGGGCAGTTTTATGTATACTGATAACTTTCTGATTAAGAATGTTTGACCTTTAAAATTTTAAATCTAAATTATAAAGGGACATATAATAAGAAATACAGAGATTTAGTTTCTGTCTTTATAAAGTAAACACAAGAAAGCTTCCTTTTTTTTTGTCATTCTTGGGGAATAAATCAAAGTAGTTATTCAATTTAAAACACTGAGACCACCCAGTAATGACAGTTATAGAAATATATTTCAGCCGCTCCATTTTTTATTTATTTTTATTTAGTATGATGAGGGCAGACATGGTTTTGGCTTTTAGAAACTGACCCGTTTCTTATTTATTAAAAACTATATCGATCAAGTTTTGTTTTGTTTCCCATGATACAGGGATTGATCGATACTTTAAGGATTCTCATTTAAATTCCCTCCATCGCCTTGTTAATGTGTCCTTAATGGGTCCTTTTTAAGCAACCCTTATTGCGTCGCTGTTCGATTTCCAATGTCTTTGACACTCTATCAATAATTTAAGCACAAGTTAAACGTGCAGCAAGCAACGTGCAACACGCACCTGCAACTGTAGGCCATCTGCCACGTATGCTGGAAAACAAAAGAAATGCTGAGAGGAAAGACACCTTCAATTACCCCAGGATCCGCCCCTCCCCCTCATCTCCTTTCCCTGCCTGCCGTCCACTCTAATTGGCCTAAATCGCATATATCAGAGTTGTGACACATGGTGCTCTGCTCGATTATTGATTAGTGCAAGTGCCATTAAGGGTGGTCTATACTCCTGTTTTTCCAGGACTACGTGACCAGCTAGCAGAGGCGATTCCGGGCGGACAGCTGTTCGCCTTATCCTTCCCGTTTCCCCTTTGGAGGCCCAAAAACATATATAGATAGCGGGCTGGTTTTGCCGTCTGTCTCGCAAACCGCTTAAATTCCGTCACAATGTATCCTTCGCCGGGCCATGTCGCTTCCTTCTTCTGGCCTTGTGCAATACAATCAACAAGGCAAATTTAGCGCCTTTTTTTTACGACAGCTGCCAAGCATCTCCTCGCTCTCGCGTCTACAACTTGAGCTCGTTCAGCAGCGCTACCCTTATTTTTTTGTTCTTGTGCTGGCTGTTGCTTCCTGGCGGATGATTGATCCTTGCTTCGATCTTATTACAGCTGCTGCTTCGGTCGCAGAAATGCGGGCCGTTGTCCTGTCTTGGGATCTGTATTTACTTACCTTTCCTTTCTGCTGTCATCTTGTTTTTTTCCCGTCCCGTCCCTCTTGCTCTAATTTATATTTTAATTGACAGGCATTGTGTTGTTCTGTTTTCGCTGAAAAGCGGATTAGGTCTTAAAGAAGATATTTTCATATTTTTGCTTTCTGAGATCTTTGTTTAATATTTGTGGCCGAAGAAATTAGTTAAATAAAATATTATAAAAATTTAACAAAAACTTTCCAAAACTCCTTGAAACTGTTTTAATAGCTTTAACTTTTTGTGTAAGCAAAATATTTCTCTCTTCTTTCTACTTTTTCTGAACAAATAATTTATTGTTAAGGCTTTCTTATTTATGAGACAATGTAAAAAGTCTGAATTAAAAAAATAAAGACTAAAAGATTTTACCGATGATTAAAATCATTGGTGGAACTGTTGAAATCTAATTCTCGCGCTTTCATCTTTAAGTTACGCCATAACTTGCTTGAACAGCAAAACTCTAAGTTTTAATCGCTCGGGTAGGACTACCCAATCAACCAAAAGGCTGTTTCTAAAATCTCACCCTATATTCCCTTTGATCGCCCAATTATCCCCTTGATACATAGATATGTGTAATTGCTTTTGCAAGACATTCCTTGCTCCTGTCAAGCTTTAATTCAATAAAGAATATCCCAGACGCTTAGTTTATTCCTTGGAATCTGAGCAATTCCTTTTGATTTTTCTTTCTACCAGCTACAACAACATTCTATATTGTCATTTCCCAAAAAATAACGTTAAATTGAATTTGAATAATTCTATCGTTTATTTGACGACTTGCTTATTGTTTGCTTGGAATTTTTCTTCACTTATGCGAAATTCTTTCCGCAAAGGGGACAAGGACAACCCTTTTATACGACCATTAACCCACAGCATTGTTTGTTAGAACAGAGGGAGAAATCGCGAAAGGGTAGGATTGAGCATACACACTCAAACGCAGACACGCTAATATAATATTTATAGTTGGTGTTTTACTTCCGGCTGTCTCGACTCGGCTTCATTTATTGAATTGAATTTGTCGCACAATGGACATACAATTGAAATCTGTCCAGGAAGCGATTGCCAAATGCAAAGCAAGCTTAAGTTGTAAAAAAAAAATGTACAGCATAGGGGTAGATTTGCTATTCTGATCCCGCTCTGGTTTCAGGACATTAGCTGCAGCAACAGGATAATCACAATTGCGGCAGCTGGCTCGCAAGAGGATAAAAAGGGTTAGAAAACATAGCGTGGAGCTTAAAAGATACGGAGCTTGAGCATGGAATTACGAAACAAACCACAAACCTACAGGATATACATAATTTTGTTTACGGTAGAACGTTCATTACTTATACTGTTTTTACATAAATAAAAATTTTGGTCTTTCAATCAAATCTTTTAACAATCCATGAAAAAACTAAAATTAGTTCTTCATTTTTAAAACCTATTAATTCAACCGTAATTTTTTTGAACAAAATTTTGGTATATTCTATTGAAAATTACCTTAAAATAGTAAAAGGCCATCTCTCGATATTTAACTAGCTTTGTTTTTATGAGGCAGATGGTGGTTTGAGTTGTCCCGGATCGTTGCCGGTTCTTTTCTTTCTTGACCTGCTTCTAATGAGACATGAAGGCGTTTTTTTTCAGTTTTAAAAATTCGACACCCGAGATTTCAAAGCAACAGGCTTGCGCGGTCACCATGTTGGTTGAAAATCCCAATCAATTGCGTTTTCCTATTGGGAAAACCTTTCATCAGGTGGCAACGCCGCTCATAGATTTAAACTTTTTGTATGTTGTTGGGCTACGTGACCAAACTACATTGTGTGTGTGTGCTGTTTGTATGTATGAGGTATGTTGCACCCCCAACCCCGATATCAAACAACAACAATAGCGAGCAAGTCTGATGGGAAAAGAGAGAGAGAGAGCGAGAGAAAGGCAGCAATATAGAGAGAGGGCGGGTGGAGTTGGAGTTGGAGTTTCTCTCCCAATCAGTAGGCCTTGCTCTTTATTGTTTTTTTGTGCATTCACTGCATGTAACATTTGTTTCCCTACACAAACCTATATATAAATATATATATATAAATTAAGCTGAATATGGCAGCATGTGTCGAGAGCCAAAGCCACAAAAATACAACGGTAACAACAATAACAACATGAAAAACTCGACCAGCAATGCAGCAACATTTGTTGCAGCTGCAGTCTGGGTGTCTTGCATTCTTTTTAAACTCTGACTCACGTACTTGTTCCGTTTCTTTTTAGGCTTTTGGTTGTGTGCAGCAACATCAGCGATACAAGCTTTTTGAGTTGCATTAATGTGCCAGCCCTTTTTTTCTATGTATATTGAACACATACGTTAAGAATCTGTCCCTGTTCTTTCTTTCATCCACCCGCTGCATTTGCAGAAACATCAACAAAAGCAATGAATTGCTGTGATTGCTAGCTCAGTTTAACAGCCTGTTATTGGCCTGTTACTCGAGCTCCGCTCTCTGGTTTTGTGTGTTTGTTATTCTTCTGCATTGATGGTGATGGTGTTGTAAACATGTGTTTACATGGTTCACCACCAACCGGATGTTGCTAATGACCGCAAAGCTAAAAAGCAAATCAGACGAGGAACAAACATAATTATTCACACCGATATGGAAGCGCTCTCGAGATAAAGCTCTATAAAATTTTAATAAAGAATTTCCGAAAGTCTTTTTAAACTTTCTCTGTGGGTGTCTTGAGCTAAGCCCAAAGTCAGTCGATTGCAAAGGTATGAAGGTAAAAAAGAGACAGGCGACTTCGATAAGCCGAAGTTTTCATACCCTTTTGCAGGTGTTACAATAATTAAATATTCTATGTTTCGATTTCGAAGCTTCAAAACAGGTAAGCTAGCTATATGAAATAGATTTGTATTAACGTCAAACAGTAAATCTCGTAATTCGTAAAAAATTACTGTATAGTATTTCGGGGTATTTGGGTAAATGTTAAAAACAGCGAAGGAAAAATTTGATTTCCCTTTTCCCGTACATCCCTATGTCAGTTATTTGATACAGTCGTCCGATTTATATATTACTAGAACCGTTTTTCTACAAAAAAAAAACAAAACAAAAAGTATGTATCAGAGTAGGTTAAAAAACAACAAAGTTATACTTTAATTTCCCTTTTTTCCCGATTGTTTAAGTGGGGGTTTATATACTACCTGCAACAGAAAAAAGACTTTCTGCAAAGTTTAAAATCTTTGCAAACCTATGATTAATTTGCTTAAAGTTTTTTGAATGTTTTTATATTTTGATAATAATATTATAACTCACAGAATTGAGTCACTGTGTTTAATATTCCTTATAAAAATATTCGCCTAATGCATGACTTCACAGCATAACCATATATACAAATTTAACGCGATAATGCTGGTAGCACTTGTCAAAAATAAACTTATTGTCAATATCGATCGTAACATCGAACTTTGAAACCAAATCTATTACAATGCCGTTCAACTGATCGACCACGCCGTCCCCTCTGTTTGGGTAATACAAAATATTAACTTAAGCTAACTTGAGTTGTTAGTTGTTGCCCTGCTTATTATATATAGGTTCTTATCAGCTTGTTTACTTGTGAGTCACATACCAAATAATCATATAATAATTGCCACTTCCTGCGTTCTTGTCGCCTGCAGCAACGTACCGAACTCAGCCCGCCCACCCATCAAACATCCGCCACCGCCGATGTAAATGCACCGCTGGCCAGCTCGACGAGTGCATCCATTGCGGTGACGGCGAGTGCAACGGCGGCTTCGGCTCCTGCAGCGACGGGCAGCACTACCTCAAGCAGCAGCACCAGCGGCAATGCAGGCGCAACCTTCAGCGGCAACAGTTCCGGCGGATCGACGACCGGAGGAGCACCATCCGTCGTGGGATCCGGTGGTTATCCAAAGACAGAGTCGAGCAAGTCGAGTAGCACAGGAAGCACAGGCGGTGGCACCAGCAGCAATTCCAGCAGCAACAAGCACGGCAGCAGCACCAAGGACATCAGCAGCAGCAGCAATCAGCAGCCGACGACTGGAAGCAGCAGCAATGCACCCAGCCTGTATGTCTCCGTCCCGCTGTCGACGGCTAATGTACCTGGAATAAATCTACCCACCAGCAGCAGTAGCACTAATACCACCAGCGGTAAGTTGACACCTGTAGAAAAATGGATTAAATCGAGTATTAATAAAAAACAAAGGAATAAAGTCTAAAATCTTGTTGACTCTCGCATTTAAATTAAAAATGTGTATATAATTTTTGTTTTACCTAAATTTTCGATTCTTTAATTTTTGAATCATAATACGACCATTATTTTTTCAAAACTGCGACGCGATGTAAAGGTCTTAATTTTTTCAGAATCACTCAGATTAGTCTTGGGGCTTGTAGGATTGGGTATTAGATTTTAATTACAACTTATTTATTTGTCAATCTATAAGTTTAATTGGAATTATAGTTTCATTTATGTTTAATAACCAAGTAATAATTATGAGTGTGTCACACATCTAAAGCAATCTAAAAAAATAAAAATAATCAAGTATGTCCAAATCCATACCGATAATTGTGCTTATTTTTCCTTGCAGAATCACAATCAGCACCATCGCGCAGTAGCGGCGTTCAATCGCAGCATCAGCAGCAGAGCAATTTACCGCCAATGGGTGGAGCAGCAGGCTCGTTTCATAGCGGCGCGAGTAGTGGTGGCCCCAACGGCGGCTCCTCGTCGGTCATCCAGCATCAGAGCGGCAAGTCATCGCCGGCCCTGGCCAGCCTAGTCAGCGGCAATAGTGGCGGCAGCATAATCTCCGCCAGCGGAGTCCCAATTGCCAGTGGCAACCTGACTGCCACAACCACGGAGAGCGGCAACTTAAAGATCAGCTACGAGAAACAAACAACACGGGTGCAGCAGCTGCAGGAGCAAGAGGCACCACCGGCACGACGCAGCAGGTATGCATCCGAAAGTGAGCCTTCCAGACTGACTGGCCCTACTATTTCTTATTTGTTGCCTGCGCTTGCCCGTGCTTTTAGTTTATACTGATCGTATATACATATATTTTCACATTCTGTTTTAATGTGTTTTGTTGCGTTGCTGTGCGTGTGTAGTTAGTCTATAGTCCTCAGTTTACCTCACATAGAGATTTAGACAAATATTATTATTGTATTTTTTTGTTCTGATTTAAATGAATCGTCAATGAAAATAAAATAAGCATTGACCTTTCAAATTTTGTGTTTCTTGTCGGATCCGTAATAATATCATAAATTTGCACATAAATGCAAGAAAGTTTTCTTTTAATTAAAAATTCCTAATTTCAAATGTTAAATTGTATCATTTTCGGGTCCTGTAAAATGAATCCGACTTGAAACACAAACAGAACTCAACATTTTCTTTTAGTTTTCGACTCATTTCGCTCATCGGTTTTTTCCTGGAACTTCCAAGTTGAGGAACTTAAAATCAAAAAAGCGCGATCTATAAAATCCATTATTTTTCTCTTTGTCTCTCTCTCTCTTTCTCTCTCTTGTTTGCTTAATATCTTCCTACACTGTACACGGTTTGATCACCCAACCACCCATCAATCACACGTAGATCGCGCTCCGGTGAGAGTGGCAGTAATCACCACCATGCCCATCACCACCACCACCATCACCCCACCCATCACAATAGCCATCACCAACAAAATCCGCAGCAGCAGCAACAATTACACCAACAGCAACAACAGAATGCGTCATCGCAGCAGCCACTTGTGCTGCACTCCTCCACAAACTCCTCCTCCTCCTCCACTTCGACCTCTTCGTCCTCCTTGTCGAGTGGCACTGCCACATCTGCCTCCAATTCCAAGGGTCCCTCGAGGTCGGGCAAAAAACGGGGAGCTGCACAAAGTAAAAATGATGCAACAGTGGCGACAACGGCAACTTTAGCAATTTCTGCTGCCTCACCAGCCGAGAAGCAGAGTCGTCATAGCTCGCCTCACTACAGTGCCACGCCCACACCGCCACCGTCGTCTGTGGCACCACCAGTAGTATCCTCGCCGGTGGTAATGTTGCAATCCCTGTCCTCGTCCTCGGTCGATTCCCCGCCAGCAACAGTGGCTGCCACTGCAACTAGTCGCAGCACGCGCAATAACAGCAGCAGCAGCAACAACACCAATCACAATGGCGAGCAAACATCCTCGTCCTGCTCGTCCACTTCGTCCTCCTCCTCGAGTGGAGGATCCAGTGGTTTGCCCAATGTAGTTAATCTGCTAGACTCGCCGGTTAATATGTCAGCTACGGGGAGCTATCGCGGCAGCAGCAACTCCTCGGGCAACGCGATACCGGCGGGAAGCAACAACAGCCAAACCAAGCCCCTAAACAAAAAAATGTTGCGTGCGCAGCAAACACAGCTGTATCAGCAACAGCAGCAGCAACAACAGCAGCAATATGCACCCCCCGCTAGATCCAACTCTCCCTCAAGCTCAGCCTCAGCTTCCAACTCTGCTAGCTTTCCGCACTTGCAACAGCCACAGCAGCAACATGAAGATCTAGAGATTTTGCAATTCACTAATACGAATAACACTCCTTCTTCCAATACGCCTACGTCGAAAACTAACAACAGAACGCCAGATCTCAGCCAGGCTAGCAGCTCATCTTTATCAGCGTCCGCAGTCCCCGCCACAACAGCTCCTTTGGTCATGCTGAGCAACCAGCTGCCACTTAACTCAATGGCTGGTGGTGGCTCTACCGGAGGCCTCAAGTTTACCTATGAGAGTCAGACGCAGTTAGACGTGCCCATGATGCCTGTGAGCGCCATAAAGGACTCGCCACCCAGTTCCCCTGGCTCGGAGATTGGATCGGCCATGCACTCGGCAACGGCGGCAGTCAGTTCGCTGACTGCCGTTGCTCCAACATGTGCGGCTGCTCAGCCTGGAAATGTGCGGAAGCGCGGACGCAAGGCAAAGGATTCGACGATAGCAGCAGCTACGGCGGCAGCTGCAGCTGCAGCCGCTGCTGTTAGCAATGTTCAACAGGATCTCAAGGATGTGCGCATACTGCAGAACGGAGCGGCCAGTGGCTCGAGCAATCCGGCTAGCAGCACACCCACGCCGCCGGCCACACCCGCTGCGTCAACGACATCCACCTCGGCCAGCTCGATCATCACACACACGGCCGCCCACATGCTAGGCAACCAAATAAATCCGAACAGCAGCGTCGCCCAGAAGCTCTCCGAACAGCTGCACATGGAGGTGCAGGATCACTCAATATACACGTCCGACTCCATTAACTCGCAGTACGCTGGAGTCCCATTCCCCGGAAAGCAGGTAATTTTCTTATTACATTTATAAAAAATACATTTGTAAAAAAAAATGTAAAACTATAAGTTTTTATACCCTTGCAGAAGGTATTATAATTTTGGTCAGAAGTTTGTAACGCAGTGAAGGAGACGTTTCCGATATAGCCATGAAAGGGATAAAAGGGATGTTAAAAGCTGTAAAAATATCCCTTTTTATATGTCTGCAAGGGTATTAAAACTTTGGCTTGCCGAAGTTAGCTTCCGTCCTCGTTCTTACTGAAACGCATACAAGAAATTAAATTTTTAAAGTTTTATTCATATTACTTATAAATAACATACATTTTAAAAGTTTATTTGACATAAGCGATGAACATTTTTCGTATAGTTTATTTGTACCAAAATATTTTGTTTCAAAATATATTGTTAAAAGCTGTAAAAATATCCCTTTTTATATGTCTGCAAGGGTATTAAAACTTTGGCTTGCCGAAGTTAGCTTCCGTCCTCGTTCTTACTGAAACGCATACAAGAAATTCAATTTTTAAAGTTTTATTCATATTACTTATAAATAACATACATTTTAAAAGTTTATTTGTAACAAAATATTTTGTTTCCGAACGATAATACACCAATGGATTTATGCGCACAAATTTTATCAAATTTGGACCGCCATGAAAATAAGATTGATTTCAAATCTAAAATATTTCCTTTTCATTTTTTTTACAGCGCAACTTAAGTGCCGCCTCCAGCAACGCCACACCAGCTCCGAATCCGCTCCAGTCAATGTTCAGCGGTGGCGGTATCAACGGTAACATGCCCATTCCTCAGAGTCTAGAGCAGCTGCTCGAACGCCAGTGGGAACAGGGATCCCAGTTTCTCATGGAGCAGGCGCAGCACTTTGACAGTGAGTATGAGTCGCATATCGGGAGCTAAATTCGGTTCTTCAGAAATTAACACTAAATTTTTGTGTTTCAGTTGCCTCGCTCCTAAATTGCCTGCACCAGCTGCAGAGCGAGAACCTACGGCTGGAGGAGCATGTGACCAGCCTAATAGCGCGACGCGATCACCTGCTGGCGGTCAATGCGCGCCTGCAGATCCCGCTTAACACCATCGCAAGCAATGCAAAGGCCGAGGCGCACGGTAAGTAGAGAGGCCGCCTATTCTCTCTTGTACTTGGTGTCGGCACTTGCTCGCTCCCACCACTTGGCACTGGAGGAGCCACACATCCCATTTACACAGCCACTGCTCACAGACCAAATTATGCGTTAATTTTTGAACTTACATTTTTTGTTTGGTATTCGTTGTACATATAAAAGGAGGTTGAGTCTAGTTTGTGTCGTAGTCTTAAGTAGCTTAAGTTAAGTTAACAACTAAACTGGTGGTATTGTTTATAAGAGAAATATGTACATAATATACACACCCATATTCTGTGAACGAAATTACTGTTTGGCAAACAGAAGCAGTGAAAAGTTATCATTGCCTTTATCGACCATACTGACAACTCATTATCTTTTTTAGAAAACGGAATGCTTCTCTATTTTCATCATTAGTCCATCCCCTGGTTAGATTTTACCTTAGATTAAACTTTTAAATTAGATTTTGTATTTACGGCGAAATACAGATCCTTATTATACTTACTCTTGTAACAAAAAATTAATTTCCTTGGTCAAGTTAATAGTTAAGTTCTTACGATATCTAAACGCTAATCTTTTTTTGATTTTATTTATTTTAAAAATGAATAAAATGTTTAATATATTAAACACAAAAACGAACACAAATTCTAAATTCATTTAGTTAAGTTTTCATTATTTGCACATTAAGTTTTCAACGACAGCACCTCCATACCAAAACTAGACGTTGGGTTGAATGTTAACCTCAGGTTAACAGTTTTACTTTTAGTTACACCTAAGTTTGTTGTGTTGCTGTCTGTTGCATGAAGTGAAGAGAATCCCAAACCCCCGCACACGTCTTTGAACACATCCCAAACACACCCACTTACAAATTACAAACTAATACCGCACAAAATACACAAATTTGGTGAAGATGGAAACAACAATGGGGTACTCACAATCTATCCAAAATGCTTACAGTCGCCATATCAACAACGGCAGCTCCAACAACCACAACAACAACCTCAACAACAACAGCAACATCAACTTGTTCTACTTCTGTCATTTCCACACTAGCTTCCAGCAGCAACATCGGACTCAGCACCAACATAAGTGCTCTTAATGCGGCAACAACAATCGCAGCAGCCGTTTCGCTGGCCACCACTGCTATTAATACCAATACCACCATCCCAACCATGGCCAATAGTCGACCCACAGTGGCACCAGCCAGTTCCAGCGGAGTAGTGCTGGACTACCGCGGACCAGTCACGACCAGCAATAACAGCAGCAGCAACAGCACCAGTGGTAGCAACACCGCCAGCAACAGTGTGAACAGCAGCAACAGCAATCCCTCAACCGCTTCAAATGTCAGCGGACCCCCTGCAACACAAATGTCCCTCTCCGGCATTAATATGACGAATGCAGCCAATTTGGGAATGAGGTAAGCTCGGTCCTTCTGGATAGCAAATAAAAGTAAGCGTAAAAATACAACTCTAGTGAAACGATGTATGAAATCGTTATTATATATATATATATATATATAATTTTAAAATTATGTCCTTTGTTTTATCGTTCTAACATGATTCACTTAAAGGTTACAAGATCTCACTAATCCGATAAAGCTTTTGCTATTGTGATTGTATTGTATAAAAAACAGAATTACATTAGCAGAAATGTTTGGAATAAACGGTGTATTGAAGCATATTGACTTTCTGTTAGTTGTGAATAACTCTAGCTTCGATAAGTAAAACGTAAATTCGAAACACAACTAACAGGAAATCAACATGCCGTATAAACACCGTTGGGGATTAACTAAATATGTGCACCTAGATACTTGTATATATTTAAGTATTTAAATAGTATTTATTTATTTGTACCCTTGCACGGGGCAACTTTATTGGTGCATTATAATAAATCAATCGGAAAAAAAACAAAAATAATTTGTTTTGAAATTATTCTCAGTAATCTTCTCATTTGAAACTTTGGATCTTGAATTAGGTACTTTTAAGGATGTCCAAGGTTCTATTACGATATTTTGTTAATTTAGGTGCAAACAGAACCAAGATTGTTGAAACTAAAATTATTCAAAACCTGCTTAAATTTAATTTATTTTAACCAGATCTGGTTATACATATATTTTAAAAACAAATATACTTCTTATCACACATTTACAGGCATATTTCTGCGGCCCACGCGTACAACAATGCTGGAAACATCAACAGCAGCAGCATGGGGAGTTTAAATGCCAATAGCGCCGTCAATAGCAACACCTTGCACCACCAGCAACCGTCGCAGCAGCAGCAACAGGCGCAACACCAGCAGCAGCAGCAGCACGTGCAACAAGTGCAGCAGAATCTTCACCAGTCGCACCACACCAGCGCAGCTGTGGCAGCCGCCCACATGCTGGGCGTAGGAATCAGCCTGGGCGCTGGAGGTGGTGCTGCCGCTGGCATTGGACGAGGTGGGTCAGCGACAGCCATGGCTGCAACAGCAGCACCAACCACAACTACTTTTACGACCACAGCGGGCACGGGCACGGGCATGGGTCAGCAGCACCACCACCCACACCCACACCAACATCCTAGCATTCAGATTCAAGTGGGTGGCGGCGGCGTTGGCGTTGACGGTTTAAGTAGCACCTCCTCCTCCTATGCGGCGCACCACGCGGCGCTCTACAGCACGCATCACCAGGTAGTAGAGTGCGTGCGAGCAAGTTCCTGTGTGTGTGTCAGTGTGATTGTGGGTGCATGTCCTTGCCACATGAGAATCCATAATCCATAAGCCAATGCCTGTTATTCGTGCATTCACCTTTTCATTTTGCGTCATGGCCCATGTTTCATCTACCCACTAATTCACCCACCAGTCATTCAATCGGAAAAGCCAAAGAAATTTCAATACACACATGTCACTATTTCGAATTCATCTGCTTTTCCGCCCATATATTTCATAAATAATTATTGCTGTCGGCAGTTAGAACAAAATTGGTTGTCTTTGTGTGCCAGGCTGAAAGAAATATCGAGATATATTACATTTTAAGACATTATTTTCAAAATGCTCCCAAAACCGGTGTAGAATCATTAATACTGTGAACTGGTTACTCAATAATTGTTTTCACTTTCAGTCCCAACTAAGGCGCGACGATAACCTCGCAAAAACCAGCTGAAAGTCGTACCGTGAGCAAGTGCTTCAGCAGGCACAGCAACAGCTGAAGAAGAAGCAAGACCTGGCCAACAAAGAACGCCATCATAACAGCAACAGGCAATGCAGCAGTTCCCGTAATCACGGCAACAACAAGCTGTCACAGCAACGTAACCTCAGCAAGCTTAAGCCGGTTGAGCTTGGATTTCAGCAGCTGATCGACAAAAATGACGATGATGTAGGTGCTAGCAATTATATCATTGCTGTTTGTTTAAGTAATTAATCGAAATATATTATTACAGCTCAGCAGCAACAGCAGCTCGTCAACCTTTTCATCCTCCTCTCAGCAGCAGTCGTCGGTAGACTACGAGGCGGAGGACGAGAACGAGGACAAACAACGAAGGCCATTACATAAAAACGAGAATGAAAGTTTGCTGCATGTACAGAATTTTCTAAAGTGCTTCGGACCCAATGCTTATGCATCGGCAATTACGGCAAAAGCATCCAATCCAGCAACCGCGACTAAACCGTTGGCCACTGTCAAGTCACCGGGAGCAGGGGAGCTGCGAGTGTGGCGCCAAAATTATCGCTTCGCAACCAATACAGTTCAAGCAGCAACCACAGTAGCAACATTACAGACCCCATCAACAACCTTAGCGGAAAACTCAGCCACAAATACATCAATGTTTCAAGCCCAGTCAAGTGCAAACCACAAACCAACCAAGTTTCAAATAAACACAAAGTTTTTGCGCAAGCCACGCAACAAACTATTGAAAATGCTGCCAACAGCAACGGCAACATCAGCAGCAACAGTTCCCAAGCAACTGGAACCACTGCAGCCGCAGCTGTTCAACGATGATTCCAACGCCAAATTCAAAGACTTTTCAATCGACTCGTTATTGAATAAGTAATCATAAAACATTAACCTATTAAAACATACAGTTCAGCCTTATTGTTTGTAGAATAATTAAACCAATAGAAGCAGAGCCCAAGCCGCGTTCCTAATTTCCCCCAACAAAATCCCTATAAATTTTGTTTAGCCAATCGAGTATCCATAACATGAACATAGCAACAACGTATTCTAACTATAATTAGGATGTTTATTTATTACATGCATATTGTATAACTAATGGCGCAATTCATAACTAGAATAAGAGTGTAAATATCTACTTAAATACGATATAATAAACCACAAACACGTGCTAGAATTTTAGATAGGCTGCGTGACTCCTGTAAATGCTCTGGTGGATACTGAATGAAAGAGTCAGTTCTTTTCGGGGGGCAAAGATGAATCCAAGGCAGCACGCACGCGCATCAGCATCTCCTTTCGAATAACGTCGGGAACCAAAGCACGAGCCTATCTTGGTAATTATGGATTAAAAATGTAGCCGAAGTTGTTGACATGAACCTACGTGGGGGACTATCTCAGCTGCCAGCTGGTCGTGGGTCAAGTTAGCCACGCCCCGTTCCTCGATGGTCTGGCGTATCATTTCCTCAATGTCCTTGCGCCAGCCGCATTCCGACAATCGCTTCTGCAGCAAATCCTTCAAGCTATTGGGAGTTGAGATTTATTGCCAATAAAACTTAAAGAAAGAACTTACGCGACGCTATCGCGGCTGTTCAACTTGACATCGTCTACGGGATCAGCATCCGTTCCCATCTCTTTGCTGTTTGGCATCGTTTAAGTTTATAGTTTTGAACACCTCAACTCTTTCTATGTTTGTATATTTTACACAAAATTTTAAGCGCAAGACGTTGGAATTTATTTGCTGTGTTTTGATGATAATCTGATTCTAGGGAACTAAAGAACCGGAACGGATTGGAACTGGTTTTAAATTGGATCAGCGATTATGGCTTACGATTCCTGCTTTCAACACTTATAAATTAAACAGTATGTATTTAAAGTTCCAAAAAATTTTGAACAAGATAACATTTTATTTTGAAACCATTTTTCTTAATCGTTTATTAATTTAATTGAAGAGACTCTGTAAAACTGATTAATACTGTCGAAATGAATTTAATCCCGTAAAAGGCGGACATCAGTTTTATTTCTTTTAAAGATTGCTTATACAAATATTTAATTTTAGTTTTTTAATTGATTTTGATATTCCTTTGAATATGATATTATTTAACTTAACAATTAAACTTAAAACTGGATTGACATGTGATTAGTGACAGATATTTTAAATATTTTGTGTCGACTGCAAAGTGAATTGGAACTAGTCGCACCGAGTAAAGCCTTATCGATATTTTAGCACATTTGTAAATAAATCTAAAAAATCCGAATTATCTGCTGTTGTAAAAATATTCATTTTCGCAAATACAAAAAAAAACTAGACAGCGTTACCTGAGGAATTTAGTAAAGAAGTACTGTGCAAAACGATTCGTCCAGTAGATTTTGGAGGATCGTGTACACCGACTTTGAAAATGGAAACTTTTCAGGAGAGCGTTTTAAAGTTTTGGACACCCAAAATTCTAATATATAACGTGCCCACTTTCCTACGTCAAACTGCTCAAAACTTCGGAAGTTTTACTCGGATCAATACAATTTTAAAACCATATTCTTGTAATGTGATTCATGTTGTTAAAGTTATGCTATTTAAAAATAATTTTATAAGATTGCCAGAAATAAAATGCTAGTAAAAAAATGATCAGTATGGTAAATATGTGGCAGCTATAGGAACTGGATTTTGATCAAATTCAAGGTATTGCTCCAAAAATGGAAAAAAAAACTAAGAAAGAAGCCTTCTGAAATTTTCAAATTTCTTTTAAAACAGCTAATATAATAAATTATACCCGATTGTTCATACGGTAGCTAAAGGATATAAACGTCCGTTGGAAAGGATATACATATACAGCGCTTTCAAACTTGATCTGCTGACACAAAAAAAACACACATTCTACAGCTCTTAAATTCAGCTCGGAAAACGGTAAAGAAAGAGGAGGACATGCCTATGTCAACTCGCCAGATGATCACTGCATTGCAATCTTATGACCAAAATAATAATTCATCTGCAGGGTATACATATACAATTTTGTTAACACTTCTAGCAATCTTGATATAACGGGAAAGAGCTAACTAGCCAACTCTGCTATGTAGAAAACTAGTTGGCAGCGTCAAAATGTCTATGTCAAACAAAATGTAGAACGCAAACATAAGCATGTAATTTACATATTGAATTTATTTATGTATATTATTTACCTTTAGGTATAATCGGAACCGATAAACTTATTGAATGATGTCAATTGGTGTCACAGAAACCTTATCCTGCCAATTTCGGTTAGGATGTAAATAACACCCCCATAACGCCTTTTTTGTTCAGACCGAAACTATTCCCCGATTCAGTTGAATCTTCTTTATTTGATACATATCGTATGTACATACATAAGTACATATGTGTATTGGTTTGGAATTTTGCTGACTTTCTAAATAATTTTGCATTGAACATTGGTACATACAGACATTGTTTTTCTGTAATTTCAAAAGTACATTTGTTGATCAAACATTTGTAATCAAAGACCATTTAATCATATTGAACGCTCAAGACCTCCCACTCAATCCGCCTACAGCTGCATGAAATTCCCTAAGCCGGCTGCAAGGTGCCTTCATCATAAAAATGTGTTGGTTTCATAGCTGGTTGCCCAAATACAGTCACAACGCCATACAAATCTGTTTTGGCTGGCTCTGATTTTATAAGCCCATCTGTTTTTATTTTTGGCTTAAAAATCTGAATATTAGGCATAATATGTTTAAAATTTGGGTTAAGGCTTGGTTATTAAGTAAACTTTATACATAACCTAATTCAAAGTCAAGAATGGGACATTTGTATTAAATGACAGCATACATAACCTCAATGGCGGTCGAAAGTTTCTGCTTATTCATTCAATATATCATATATGTATGTATGTATATAAGTACATTATTACATGCTGCATTTCCTGCCTTGTCTTTTGTGTTTTTTCTGGAAATTCGATATCAGCTGTAGCAGCTGGCTCTGGCTCTTCGGTCTATTTGTTAAAAGTACCGCATTGGGCGCAGACTGAGAAGGCGGCCCATACAACACAACAACAAGCCGGTTTACCTAGGCTTCAATTTCGGTTTAGGCAAATCAACCCCCACGAAAGGTCGGTAAATGCATCATACATATGTACATATATACATACATATGTACTTCGTGGGGGTTGATTTGCCAAAAAAGGTATGCTAGCTTGTAAAACCAGAAAATTATAAATTTACACTTTATATGTACAAAAGCGTTAACTTTTATAGAGTTCTAAATACATTTACAAATCGGCCGAACAAAAATTTTGTAATACAATAAAACGATACATATGCATGTACATATGTATGTACATACACACGTACATACATACACAGTTAATGAATAATCTCTCCATAAAATTGTACTATGCCAAGAATCCAACATAATAAATTTACAAAGACCCCTGAACTTATAGTTTTTTATTGTTTTAAAATATTTATAGATATATTAAATGTTTTATTTTTTTTAAATTTATAAATCAAATTATTCTCTTGGCTTTAATAAGAATAAAAACATGTTGTTATCGATTTTTGCTACTAATATAGAAAAATCAATGTGAATTATGTAGATTGCTAAAAAAAACTTGCTTGCTATTACTTTGACCTCCGCTGTAATCAAGTTTATACCCACACTCACATTCGCAGTGGCATGTTCGTCGACAGTTAGGAAATGAAGTCATCGTTTTGCCGAGTTGGCGTGGCTATATACAGCAGTGATTTTGCTAAAAGGAATGACTCATTGTCCCAGAGAATCAATACAAGAAAAGTGGAAAGCCAAGTGCATGCCACACGGCCTGGTACAGTCCGCTCTTGCCACAAACAGCGAAACAGGCGCGGCACTGGCCCGAAACAGGGGAAAATAGAAAGCGCTAATTATAGACCAAGAGAGCGTCTGCTCTGCTTTCCCGCAGAGAAAACTTCGTTCGATGACCCCTTACGCTGGAATAAATGACGGCTAAGGAAGGAAAACTATAGAAAAACGAACTGGGGTTTTTTTTATGCTGTCAACACTTATCTGGCCGATTTTATTCTTGTACACAACTTATCGCCGAGTTAGCTAGGCTTTTCTGCTATACGTGTCTTTGTGGATAAAATACTATCTGGTTCTTTTCTTTTCATTATCGTACGCTTTATAGTGTTGCAGTGAATTTTTTGTTGCGTTTGGAATCGTGAACACTGATTTCGACGGTTAGCCCGCCCACCAATGACGTTCCCACCGAGCGTTGGAGTTGTGCTACGCTTAGTACTCCTCAGCACCCTCGCCCTCGCCATCTCCGGAGTCCATGCCAACCTCCTCGTAGTCCTTCTCCAGGGCAGCCAGATCCTCGCGAGCTTCGGAGAACTCTCCCTCCTCCATGCCCTCACCGACGTACCAGTGGACAAAGGCACGCTTGGCGTACATCAGATCGAACTTGTGATCCAGACGGGCCCAGGCCTCGGCGATGGCCGTGGTGTTGGACAACATGCACACGGCACGCTGCACCTTGGCCAGATCTCCGCCAGGCACCACGGTGGGGGGCTGGTAGTTGATGCCAACCTTGAAGCCAGTGGGGCACCAGTCCACGAACTGGATGGTGCGCTTGGTCTTGATGGTAGCAATAGCGGCGTTTACGTCCTTGGGCACCACGTCTCCACGGTACAACATGCAGCAGGCCATGTACTTGCCGTGACGAGGATCGCACTTGACCATCTGGTTGGCCGGCTCGAAGCAGGCGTTGGTGATCTCGGCGACAGACAGCTGCTCGTGGTAGGCCTTCTCCGCCGAAATGACCGGGGCGTAGGTCACCAGCGGGAAGTGGATACGGGGGTAGGGTACCAAGTTGGTCTGGAACTCTGTCAGATCTACGTTCAGGGCACCATCGAATCGCAGAGAAGCAGTGATCGAAGATACAATCTGGCCAATCAGACGGTTCAGGTTGGTGTACGTGGGTCGCTCAATGTCCAGGTTGCGGCGGCAGATGTCGTAGATAGCCTCGTTGTCGACCATGAAGGCGCAGTCCGAGTGCTCCAGAGTGGTGTGGGTGGTCAGAATCGAGTTGTAGGGCTCAACGACGGCAGTGGACACCTGGGGAGCAGGGTAAATTGCGAACTCCAGCTTGGACTTCTTGCCGTAGTCCACGGAGAGACGCTCCATCAGCAACGAGGTGAAGCCCGAGCCAGTGCCTCCACCGAAGGAGTGGAAGATCAGGAAACCCTGCAGTCCGGTGCACTGATCGGCCAGCTTACGGATCCTGTCCAGAACCAAGTCAACGATCTCTTTGCCGATGGTGTAGTGGCCACGGGCGTAGTTGTTAGCGGCGTCCTCCTTGCCGGTGATCAGTTGCTCCGGGTGGAACAGCTGACGATAGGTGCCGGTACGGACCTCATCCACAACAGTGGGCTCTAGATCCACGAACACGGCGCGGGGCACGTGCTTGCCGGCGCCCGTCTCGCTGAAGAAGGTGTTGAACGAGTCATCACCTCCTCCCACGGTCTTGTCGGAGGGCATCTGGCCATCGGGCTGGATGCCGTGCTCCAGGCAGTACAGCTCCCAGCAGGCGTTACCAATCTGGACACCAGCCTGGCCGACATGGATAGAGATACATTCACGCTGTAGACGAAAAGGGGAAGGGGAAAAAAAAGAGATGATTAATTTCACGCCCAAGAAAATCGATAGTAGCAGAGCCGCGCCCAACTTGAGCTGGTCCCATATGCGTGCGAGTGAGATGGCTTATATGGTATACAGATTTTATTTTTTTCTGTATTTTTTTTTTCTGCCGGAATTTTACTGACGCCATTTTCTCTGTACTTTTTTTCTTAAAAACCTACATTTAGTAAAAAGGATTTCTCCAGAAAAATAATATTTTTAAACATATGCGTGCGAGTGAGATGGCTTATATGGTATACAGATTTTATTTTTTTTCTGTATTTTTTTTTTCTGCCGGAATTTTACTGACGCCATTTTCTCTGTACTTTTTTTCTTAAAAACCTACATTTAGTAAAAAGGATTTCTCCAGAAAAATAATATTTTTAAACTCGGGACCCTATATTAAAAAAGATTTTCTTTAATTAACCAAAGCCTCTTTTCCCTTTTACACCTAATTTCGTTAGCTTTCCAACGAGTATTCTCTTTGCGAAAAAAAAAACATGACGTCATCACTTTTCAAGAAAAATGCAAAAACCGGCCGCCATTTTACCAAAAGTCGCTCTGCTCGCCCATTATATTAAGCCGACAGTACTTTCTACTCTAATGTTCACTTAAATTTGTTTGCTACTCACCATATTGAGAGTTTATTAGAGGTTTTTCACACGCGACAAGGAAAATTCACAGAAAAGTGTAGAGCTACGATTTCGAGGTCCGTCTCTGAGAGCGTATACGTTCGAATTGCCGGCTATGAGGCTTGACAAACGTAAAATGGATATGAACACTAGGGAGCGGGCTGCTTTATATAGGTGCCGGAGCTAGAGGTGGCATGTCAGCGATCTTAACGCCGCAAAATCGATAATTGGTAATTTCCAGGCGACAGCACTTGGTCACTCTGTATTTTGTCACCGACTGGTCGCACTAGCGTGGATCCAAATCATGGTACAGAACTTTGCTAGCCGAATCGGTTGGCTTAACCGTTTCCAAACCTTAAATATAAACAATTTTAATAATAATAATTCGAAATTTTACTTATTATAATGTTGACTTATTAATTAAAAGTATAAAGTTACTAGGAATTAAAACATCAGCACCTGTGGCTTTATTTTATTTAAGTTAAAAGAACAACATTTGTATACCCTTGCAGAGGGTATTATAATATCAGTCAAAAGTTTGCAGCGTAGTGAAGGAAACATTTCCGACCCTATAAAGTATATATATTCTTGATCAGCATCACCAAGAGAGCCGATCTAGCCATGTCCGTATGTCCGTCCGTCCGCCCGTTTCTACGCAATCTAGAACCTCAGTTTTAAAGCTATCTGCTTGAAACTTTTCTAAAATGTTTTCTATTGCAGGTGGTAGTACCATTGAAGCAATCGGAAAAAAAAAAAAAAAAGTTTAACTTTGTTGTTTTTAATTTTTTTTTTCTTTGGTATTTAGTAATATTTTTAGCAGAAATGTAGTCGTTTTGTAATGGCTGCAAGGGTTTATAAACTTAAGTCTGCTTTCTTTCTTGTTAGTTTTATTAATTAGTTTTGTAGAAAATTAAATTATTTTAGTGATATTCCCGTTGCTAGGGTTGGATGTGTTGACTAAAAGGAAGGTTGTTCTATTTTGGTAAAAGGAAGGGCATGTTATTAAGATGTGATTGATATTGAGAGTTGTTGCAGAACGGGAACGTATTTGGGAAAAATCTGTCCATGTAGTGGGACTTAATGAGCCGGCTTATATTTTTTAAGTTTTCCTGTTGTGTTTTGTGTTGCTATGTAAGAACATATTACATATTACATTACATATGTAATGAATATGAAAAGTTTGCAACGGTTTTTTGCGGGTTTTCATATACTGTACTTATTTTTATATGTACTTTTTGACATTTGCATTCTGAAATTTCGTTTGAGTTGTGGTATTATTGTGTTCCTCTCGCTGCTCTATCAGCGTTTTTGTTGTATTTTATACCGATGCGTCTGGGGATCAATATTAGTTTTATTTTGTCAAATGTCAGGTTTCTAATCGTTGTAATGATATAGGAACCGTTGTTTGAGGTAGTAAAGGATTTTAGGGCGGATAGGGAGTCTGTGAGATTTGCAGTTTTTATAGAAGTTTTTTCGTAAGTTGCCATATAACTTAAAGTAAGAGGAATTGATGGTGTTATTAAATAACAATAATATTGTTTGAGATGCTAGAAAGTATAAATGAATTTTAATACTTTGGTAACGATGTATTGATCGCATTTTTGACATGCAGTATATTTAAAAAATAAACTTGAGGTCACACCAATCGCTGGATGTGATATATGTCTATTGGTCTTGACGCTGTCGAGCTTATTGCCGTTAATTATTCGAAGAGGAACAACTGGAAGCAGTTTTACTGGTATCATGCGAATCGAAGCGACAGACTCATTTTGGCTGGACAAGGCGGCTTTTAGCAGAGCAGAAAGACAGTACTACGAGACGCTTAATCGAAGAAAAAACAGTGTAAGTGAAAGATGTCTTTGAAGTCCCCAGGCGGTTTCCTAATAATCGTTAAAATGGCGGGAACTTTATCCCGCAAATGCCTAAGCGCTGGAATTGTATTTATTTATTTATATTGAACTGATATCCCCACCGACAAATGTACGCATATGCAGGTATATAAATATATATCATAGTGTGCTTGTGATGCTTATTAGCACACACCGACAACGCACACTGGCTCAGACAGCCGGCCAGATTCGTCGTAGGTGGCTACCCTATACAAATCAGCTGATTTACAAATTCGCCCAACATTTGCTAACAGCCAAACAAAGGCGGTGCAGTGAACTGTCTAGTTGCAGGAAATTCACGTATCCAAATAACGTTTCAGCTTCCTGGCCCCGCATTACTGCCGGCGCCCGCCCCAAAACTCACCACATTCGCCCCCGCAAAGAAAGCCAAGAAGAAAAACAAGGCGATGACCGAGAAAGAAACGCCAAACAAACTGCTTTATGTGAGAATATTTCCAGTGAATTTAAATTATTGGCTTACGACCCGGTGATCTTGCAGATGAATCCCCTGACCATGGAAGCCAACTTCTTCCTGGACACCCTCAACTCGGTGAACCAGAAAAGCGCTCCACCCCAGCTGGACCCGCACCTGGCCAAACTACTGGAGCGCATTATGGTGGGGATCGAGAAGTACATGGACAGGAACCCTACCTACGTGTTGCCCCAGGAAACGGCATCTGCCGGCGAGGGCGTGGCATTTGTCCAGCCGAAGGAGCTGCAGACGATCAAGCGTACATTTAACTGCAGTTTCTGCAACAACCGGATCGTAGGTACCACCATCGCCAAGGCGGTGGCCCACCTGTCGGAGCAGCATCCCAATCCCAATCCCAACGGTCAGCCAGTGCAGCCTCAGCAGTCTAAACAGGAGAAAAAGCAGGCCCAGGTGAAGGCGCGTCAGCAAATGGTTGTGCAGCTGCCCAAGAGTAGGTCACCATTTCAGTATAACACCATCCAGAAACTATCAGATCGCAGATCGTCTTTTCGATTGGGATTCGGAAAAAACACTTGGAAATTAGTTTTATAAAGGGTTATGGAAATGTCAAGAACATTTATGCAAATCAAATTAAAAAAAAATATTCCTAAGTTAAATCGGCACAAAAATAGAATGTTAACAATATTATAATATTGCCAGATAAACTATATCGTTCTCATATGAAAGTTAAATCGATTGAAAATTGCTTGATTTGTTCTAAACAAAAAACTCGCCATTTCTTCACTTCTTATTTATCAAATTATATATTTCAGAGGTCAAGGCGATGATTGTAGGCGAGATTACGAATGTGTTTAAAGACAAATACCCTATAGCAGATAAACTGAAGGTGATTCCTGAGTACGACATAATCGAGCAAGATCTGTGCAAGCTTCTCACGCCGGGCTTTCCAAAGCAACAGCTGCGCATCTACAAGTTTGGCTCACGCATCACGGGGATTGGGCAACGTTCTTCCGACTTGGACGTGTTCGTCGATATCGGTGAGTCTATTTCTTTAACCCAAATTGTCCCTGCATGACTTTCTTTTGATCGACAGGCAACACCTTTCATACGTTTGAACACCGAGCTTCCAATACAACGATCACCAAGCTGCGGGCGATGCGAAAGTTTTTCTGCGGCAGTGACGACTGGCGCATTATTAATGTAGGATATGCCCTAAACAACCGATTCATAGTTACAATCTGTTCTTTCTTGAGTAGGTCATTGAGCAGGCCCGCGTTCCTATCATCAAAACCTGTCATTTGCCCACGGGCATCGAGTGCGATATTTGCCTGAACAGCTTGGGCTTCTGTAACACAAATCTGCTGAAATACATATTTGAATCGCAGCCACTGAGTAAGCAGAATTGACCGGACAAAGTCCACACGTATTTTCTTTCTTTTCGCTTATTTGCAGCGCAATATATGTGCATATATGTCAAGAACTGGCTGGAGCGGTGCAAGCTGACGGAACAGATATCGACTTACAGCATTACCCTGATGGTCATCTACTTTTTACAGCTTCAGGGCCTGCTGCCACCTATAGTAATGCTGCAAGTGGAGCAGTCGCTTAAGGGCGGGCAAGTGGGACGTAAGTTCATTTGTGCTAATTAAGGAGGATTCGGCAATTTAGTTTTCCTTTCAGCATGGATCGTCAATTTTTCACTAAAAACGCCCAGTGAGCTGGGACTGCAGCAAATAGAGGTCACTGTTCCCGTAGTCAAGTGCTATCTTAGAAACTTTTTTGTATACTTTGGCAATTTTGACTACGAGCACTTTTTGATCTGTCCATATTTTGGTGGAGCTGATATCGAAATACAAAAGGTTGAGAAGATGCTACCTACTAGGTAAAAATTATAATTTAGTAGTCGCTGTTAACATAATACTGCTTTTTTTAAGAAAATCGAAATTGATTTATTGTTTATCCTAGCCAAGGGTCTTGACTATTGAATTACACAAATATTTGCTTTTTATACCTTTGCAGAGGATATTATAATTCCAGTCAAAGGTAAAGGAGACATTTCCGATCCTATAAAGTACATATATCTTTGATCAGCATCTCCAGAGTCGATCTAGCCATGTCTCTCTGTCCGTCCGTTTTTACGCAGCCTAGTCCCTCAGTTTTAAAGCTATCTGCCTGAAACTTTTCCAAAAGTTATCTTTCGAGCCATAGGAACAATCGGAAAAAATTAAAAATAACTCCACTGTTTTAAATTTTTTTTTGTTCTTTGGGATTTGGTAATATTTAAATACTATGGAATTACGGGAAATTAAATTAAAATCGGTCCTCTATATCAATAGCTCTAGGAAAATCGAAAAAAATTAATATTTTGCTGTTTTTCTATTTATTAAAATATTCCTTTGAGATATAGTAATTATTTACTATATCAGAATTACGGACAACAAATCGAACAACAATATCATATAAGCTGCCATAGAAACGATGGGAAAATGCAGCGCCAAATCTATAGTAATCGAAATGTAGTCGTTTTTATACCCTTGCAGAGGGTATTATAATTTTGGTCAAAAGTGTGCAACGCAGTGAAGGAGACATCTCCGACCCTATAAAGTATATATATTCTTGATCAGGATCACCTCCTGAGTTGATATAGCCATGTCCGTCTGTCCGTCTGTCTGTCCGTCTGTCTGTTTCTACGCGAACTAGTCTCTCAGTTTTAAAGATATCGAATTCAAACTTTGCACACACCCTTCTTTCCTTTGCACGCAGTATATAAGTCGGAACGGCCGGGATCGGCCGACTATATCCTATAGCTGCCATATAACTGATTAATCGGAAATGTCATAACTTTGGTGTTTGTAAAGTTAGAAAGTTGTGATTTTCTATGGGTTTTATATTTGCCCAATCAATCCGACATATCAAATTTCATAAGGATCGGCCGACTATATTCTATAGCTGCCATATAACTGAACGATTGGAAATGCCATAACTTTGGTGTTTTTAAAGTTAGGAAGTTGGAATTTTTTATGAGTATTAAGAATGCATCATATGAATAATTTTGGAGAATATAATTTGCAGAATATTCTGCAAGGGTATTTCAACTTCGGCTCCGCCCGAAGTTAGCTTTCCTTTCTTGTTTAATAACTGCGAGGGTATATAAACTTCGGGTTGCCGAAGTTTACTACCTTTATTGTTTACATTGCTTTCAATTGTCTATATTTTTTTTAGGTACTCTTCATATGTGTTGGAGAACCCCGACTGCTCGCTCCAACTACGAAAACCGATGGTGGTTCAGGATCCCATACAGCTAAACCACAACGTTACCAAAGCGGTAACCCGATATGGACTGCAAACGTTTGTGGACTACTGTGTGCAGACAGCAGTTCTGTTGGAGGAGCCTTCAACCAATTGGCGCCAGCGGAGTACATAAACCTGCCAAGTCATCTGATTGAATCGTTCCCATCCCTCCAATCTCAAGGCAGTTTCAACGCTGGTCTGTTAAGATTTTACTTTGAGTGTGCGAGTGACCTATTTTGGTTTTAGCAACTGTAAATTAAGGGCACTCCGCACGTCTCGACAATATCCAACACATAAAGTACAAGTGACTTTTGTATATTTCACTAGCAAGCGTTTAAATTGTTTGGTTTGGTTTCAATTGCATTAACACGTAAGATAACGTCGTATGGAACACATTTTTGCGGACTACATCTGCCAGGACTCGGGCACACGGTTAAACAACTTCAGCAGCAGATATATTGTAAAGCCAACAATTAGAAACAACCCCAGGAAACTGATGCGGTTGACCCAGTGCTGCTTGGAGTCGCTCATTAAATTGTAAATGCTCATGGCAGAGTTTTCCGCCTCCTTCAGGCTACCGTTGTTGTCGATGACGAAGTGAGATTTCTCGCACTTCTTATCCAGCGGCATTTGTGAATCAACGCGATGTCGTGCCTCGGATTCGGAGAGCTCGTTACGGGCAATCAGTCGTTCCAGCTGCTTGTCCGAGTCGCTGGAATATCAATATCAATATGAAATTAGTATCCTTATCCTGCATGAGTTGCACAAAAGCTTATAACAGTTTTGATCGACAAATTCACTGAAGCTTGATATGTTTAATATATATTATTTATATGCATTGAATCATTAACCATGGTCGAAGCAAAAACCCCAATGTTTGAAGAATTAAATTAAAGTACTTTTTGACAACACTCATGCAGGAAAGCCCAAAGGAATCTAGCGTACCAAGACACACAAACGATCTTGTGTATAAAGTCCATTAGAATACCGGTTTCAAAGAGCAGTGGCAGGTCCAAGACTATCCACGCATGTCCTGTTACCAGCAGTTTGCACACCTGCCAAAAGATCTTGCGGTGAATGGTCGGATGTGTGATTTTGTTTAGCTTTCCGCGCAGCTCCTTGTCCTCGAATATCATCTTTCCCAGAATGGCGCGGTTTATCTCCTTGCTGGGTAGCAGAACCTCATCTCCAAAAATCTCCCGTATCCGTCTCCAGCACGGCTGACCTGGTTCCACAACTACACAAATAAAATACACAATTAGCGCAAGTGGTCGTTAATTATGAAGCGGATGTGCTCCACTGTTAACTTGCTCTCTCTGGCGATTTTGTCAGCGTCGATTACTGGAATGCCCTGGCGCGCGAACACCTTGCTGACAGTACTTTTTCCTGTGGCAATGCCACCAGTGACCGCCACAATAAACATTATTGAAAGACAAGTAAAACTATTTAGTTTTATGAGACGATAGGAATGTTTAAACTTTTTTCCAATTGTTAAAGTTGTAGTGTAACCAAGCCACTACATTTTAAAAATACCGCTGATAAAAATACTAGGAATTATACATTCAGTTTGAAAAAATAAATTAATTAAATTAGGGTATTTCCTAAAGCCTAGTACCCAGATCGACAAAAACTGTCCGCCAGTCATGAGAGAGTGCGAGAGGCAAACAGCTGGCGTTCACTTTTCGTCAACGGTTTTTTTCACCTCGGTCCACAGATCGACGAAAAAATACCAGAACATTGCATAGCGTTGCCAGTCTGCGGAAATGAACTTTGCCTAGTACTCAGATCGACAAACGAGTATCCTAGCGTAAAAACTTTAATCTTTCCAGTGTGACCAACATTTCGAGAGTTCATCAGTTTAAGTGTGCTACGGTCGTACTGTCAATCAGCTGGGTTTGCTGACAAGCAGTTAAAATTCAAATATCGTATTTGCGGGAATGAGCATTTAAAAGTTATTATCAAATACGTTGGTAAGACAAGTCTGCCGCTGTACAAAGAAATTAAAAAACAATACAATTTAAATTTAACAGTTGTTTGTTTTAATTTACTGATAATTATCTGCTAATTTAAAGTTCATAGCTGCACTTTTATCGTGTTTTTTCGTACATTCTAGACCTAAAAAACATTTTGCTCTGACAAGAGGCACCCCAGATAGTATTAATGTTATTGTGTCCTCACATGTAAACTCCTGCAATCGACTTTTGCGAGTTTTTTGAGTTTTTCCCTCTATTTCTTATAATGTTCAGTGAGAAGCGCACGCCAAAATATTAAATTTTTTAATCTTTTCCGCTAGGGTTCACCCAAAGTTCATTTCCGCAGACTGGCAACGCTATGCAATTTTCTGGTATTTTTTTCGTCGATCTGAGGACCGACGTGAAAAAAAGGCACGACGATATGTGAACGCCAGCTGTTTGCCTCTCGCTCTCTCTCATGACTGGCGGACAGTTTTCGTCGATCTGAGTACTAGGCTTAAGTAATGGAGGGAAAAATTAAAAAACTCGCAAAAGTCGATTGCAGGAGTTTACATGTGAGGACAAAATAACATTAATACTATCTGGGGTGCCTCAGTACGACCGTAGCACGCTTAAATCTGATGAACTCTCGAAATTTTGGTCACACTGGAAAGATTAAAGTTTTTAAGCTAGCATACTCGTTTGTCGATCTGAGTACTAGGTTTAAGCGACTGAATCGCTGAAATTTCTGCAGAACAATTTAGTAAAGCCTAGTATCCAGATCGACAAACGATTACGCTAGCGTAAAAACTTTAATCTTTCCAGTGTGACCAAAAGTTTGAGAGTTCATCAGATTTAAGCGTGCTACGGTCGTACTGTCAATCAGCTGGGTTTGTTAACAAGCAGTTAAAATTCAAATATCGTATATGTGGGAAAGAGCCTTTAAAAGATATTATCAAATACCTTGGCAAGACAAGTCTGCCGCTGTACAAAGAAATTAAAAAACAACACAATTTAAATTTAACAGTTGTTTTTTTTAATTTACTGATAATTATTTGCTGATTTAAAGTTCATAGCTGCACTTTTATTGTGTTTTTTCGTACATTCTGGACCTAAAAAACATTTTGCTCTGACAAGAGGCACCCCAGATAGTATTAATGTTATTTTGTCCTCACATGTAAACACCTGCAATCGACTTTTGTGAGTTTTTTGAGTTTTTCCCTCCATTTCTTATAATGTTCAGTGAGAAGCGCACGCCGAAAGATTAAATTTTTTAATCTTTTCGCTAGGGTTCACCTAAAGTTTATTTCCGCAGACTGGCAACGCTATGGAATTTTCTGGTATTTTTTTCGTCGATCAGGAGACCGACGTGAAAAAAAGGCCCGACGAAAAGTGAACGCCAGCTGTTTGCCTCTCGCTCTCTCTCATGACTGGCGGACAGTTTTCGTCGATCTGGATACTAGGCTTAAGCAACCAAACAATTTTTAACAAAGTTCTTTTTGTTGTGATTTAAAAGATGGTTTTTGCATTTTTGCGTTGTTAGTTACTGTTTAAAACTTTTATTTTGTGACACCAATTTAATAGTTTAAAAAGTGTGCTGCGATATGGTATAGTGGTATATAATTGTATGTTACAAAGATAGTTTTGGTTTTCAGTGACTGCCTAAAAATTGTTAAATTGCTCCAATTTCTGAAAGTTCAATATTTTCCTATGCTACATCAATGTAAAAAAATGTGTTTTGCCCTTAACTCACTAGCACCCTAACTCCACGCCGTAATTTTGGACCATGCCGTAATTTAAGATGGTGGACCAACTGGGACCTTATGGACCATCCTGAAAAAAAAGAGTGGAAATATGATATAAGTTTGTCAACGCTATCATAAAAATACCAAAACAGTGAGTGCTGCTCAACACTCTTTTTTCCCAGATACAAGATGGCGACTGTGTAATTTTTCGTGCGTCGTTTTGCAGAGTTTGTGAAATTCCACGCGCTCGTTAATCGAAAACAATTCTCATCTCGACTTTCGGTAGCCGTCAGAAAGCCATCCTTTCCACACACTTCAGAAGGTCTTCATAGTCATCAGTCCACGAAATCAGCAGAATGGTAGACAAAATTGAAATGAGCCTCGACGACATCATCAAGTCGACTCGCTCGCAAAAAAAGCCGCAAGGCACTCGCGGTGCTCCAGGTGGAGCCCGACGGCCGGGCGGCCAGCAGCGAGGCGGAGCCCGTCGTGGAGGCGCCAACGCCAGCGGATCGCCCAGGAAGCCGGCGCCAGCTAGTGGAGCCGGTGGAGTGCTTAAAGGCCGACGAGGCGGTGCTGTTAGCGGATCCGTTCAAAAAGCCAAGTTCCCACGGGTAATTCAATGCATTTCAATGGCCAATTGGAGCAGCCGGAGCAGAAAATCCCCTGTGCTCACAAGGACAATAACGCCAAGCAAGTGTCTTGCGACCCATGACCCACATTACCAGTACATGGCTAATAGCGAATGACGAAATCAAAATCAAAATGGCCACCCTGCACCGCCTTACAACGGACGGAGTAGATCTTTACTTGCAATTCTTCGAGCCCAGGCCACTGCTCAAGTTCCTTTAACCCCGTTTTTTACAGAATATCAATCAGAAACAACAGACGAACACTGTGTCTTAACTTATTTTCCTTCAAGTCTCACTATTTCCACGTGAATCTTACCCAGTTAACAAGCATTTCTAGTGTCTCCGCTCGATATGGGTGTCCTCTTAAGGCCAAGATACGATGCAACTGCTACTGCCACGGCTACTCCCGCCAAATCCATATAATTGATACGTCTCGCGTTCGAACCAACAACAGAACATACCCATCTACCTTCTACCTAATACTACCCCACCTCTAGGGCGATGTGAACAGCGCTTGGAAGCACGATATGTACGACGGACCTAAGCGGGGAGCCGTTGGTGGCGGAACCGGACTCACCCGCCTCATTGTCGGCAACCTAGACTACGGAGTCTCCAACACGGACATTAAGGAGCTTTTTAACGACTTCGGGCCGATGAAGAAGGCAGCAGTGCACTATGATCGCTCCGGTCGTTCTTTGGGTAAGTTTGAGTACTGCCTCAGTACTATAACTACATAATCAGAATGATATTCAAGAACACACCCATTTTTGGGTTGGACAAATATCAAATTTACTTTGGAATTTTTATTAATTTCCAGTTAGCTAAATTATTCCATGAAAATTAATTCGGTTGAATATGAACACCGAGTACTGATCCACCTTATATTGTTTAATTTTTATTCGCAGGCACCGCAGATGTAATATTCGAGCGTCGCGCCGACGCCATGAAGGCTATTAAACAGTACCATGGCGTGCCTTTAGACGGACGCCCCATGACCATTCAGTTAGCCGTCTCCGACGTGGCCGCCTTGACCCGTCCTGTAGCCGCCACCGATGTCAAGCGTCGTGTCGGTGGTGGCGCATCAGCTCCATTCAAGCGTGGTGGTGCGTATCCAAATTTTTTATCAGGGACCGTAAATAATGCCTATATATATTTTTTTTTACCTCAAACATCATTCATTAAAAACCATTTCAGACCATTTTTGGATCTATGCACTTCCACAAAGATTCTTAAATGTCTATTTATTTCGATAATAATTAATTTTTAAGATTAAGTTTAGTTTTTCATTTAAATTTATTTATGGTTTTACTTAATTGATGTTCATTCAAAATTTTTGTCTGGACGAAATGCGAAATAATTTCTTCTCTTATCCACCATATTGTTGGCCTTTAATTCACTCCTGTAAAATATGTTGAACGTTTAGTTAGAACAAAGAGCTCAGCTTTTAGACAATTGTTTCTACAATGGAACCAAGAATGATTTTGATTACGGTCCCTGAAGGCAATCCCTAGTTCCAATCCTTACACTTCCATTCCAAACTGTGTTTTAGGTGGCCAAGCTGGCGGCTCTCCGCGTCGTGGCAGCTTTAAACGTCCGACCGGAGGCAAACCGGCAACAGGCGGTCAACGTCGGGAGCGCAAGGCCCCACCAACTGCCGAGGAACTGGACGCCGAACTGGACTCCTACATCAACGACATGAAGATCTAAATAGCCAATAGTCTGAATTAGTCTAACAGAGAAAAAAGTAAAAACACAATCCCTAGTCTTAAGTCAACCATATGGACACTGTCTGCATGGTTCATCAAATCAAACGCATTGGGATCGACAACGCCGTGCTAAGGTTTATATTGAAACCTAAAGACATCAAGAATTAAAACCCATTTGCGCATGTACCCATTTAATTGTTAATTATATCAATTTGGCGGCTGTTGGGATAAGTCGACTTACTGAAATACATTTAATGCTGTATTTATTATAATTAGTAATACGCTTTAACAAAGTTCGACGATGACTTAATTCTGTAAACTGAAGTAATTCTAAACTGAAGTGTAATAAATACTAGAATTAAAGTCGTGACCAAATCGAGTTATCTTTACTGGCTCACTAGGTTAGGTTAGGAGGACTATGAAAAGAATCTCCGCATACTTGCTTAAATAAAAAAAAGCGATAATTTATAATTGTTTTATTTTGGAATAATACATAAATGGTTATAAAGGGATTTTATTTTGGACAAATTGTACAGACTTTAAGAAGTTTCGATTGGACACTTTAAGTACAAATAATGCTAAATTAGGCTTCGGTAGTAGGTGGTAGTTTAGCAAAGTCAATCTATATAATCCATTTTTTGTGGGGCGGAATCACAAGTTACTTAAATGTCAACAATTGCGTTAGACGTTTTCCTTAGACGATAGAACAAATGTGACAAGAATGAAAATGAAACGAAAGGAAGAACGATTTGGAAAGCTGCTTTGCCAAATATAATCATTGTTTTCTTCCACCGGCTGATTTGCTGATTTATATAGATAATGCGCATCTAATGTGTGTATACGTATGTTATAAGCGAGTTATTTTTATAGGTTTATGTTTTTAATGTCGTTCTGAGGATGTGATGGTGAGTCAATAAATGCTTGCAAGCTTCTTCTGCACTTCTTCTACCAGAAGCCGCCCGACGAGTAACCGCCAGGTGGGACTCGGCCACGAGCCTCTCCGTTTGTGGCCGCCGGCTTTGTCGCCGACTCCTTGGGCTGACTTGGCGGGGAAGTTACCTCCTTTTGAGTGGTCACCTCGTCGCGCAGCTTCTCCACCACCTTGTTGGGATCGGTGGAGCCCATGCAGGCGTTGAGGTTCGAGGAGTTCTGTTGGTTGTACTTGGCGCGAGGGGCAGGAACTGCCACATCGGGCTCCGAGAAGATGTTGGTGTGTCCTCCGCCTGGTGGCTTCAAAACACGGCTAGAGGGACGGGCACTGGTGGTCAGACCAATTTTCAGCTCGGTGGATGTCATTTTGTCGCTGCTGGCTGCGGTGGCTGCAATGCATAACAATAAAAACTAAATCGGATGCGGTCGGAAATACGAGTACCCTAGAATACAAATTTTCAGTCACGCCACTTGCGGATCTGCTTCGACGCCACAATGATGCCAGTTAGCCGATATCGCCCCATTGGGGAGATTCTTTGTGGAGCAGAGTGAAAAAGAGACCTATTTGTTCTGCCCTTCTGCCCCTTCTTAATGATTTCTCTACACATAGAAATTCATCCGCCCCTATAATTTTTCTCTGGTTGCGTTCTCTTTAAATTTTTAACTTTGCCATTAACTGTAATTGCGCGTTTTGTGGCTATCGCACTTTCGTTGTTGCTTTTGCCGCTATTTATTTCTTCGTTTTGGTGTCAAGCATTCGCACAGTGGAATAGTAAGGTAAAAATTAAAAAAAAAAACATGACAAATTGGGTAGTTATCTCTTGATCATAGCTATAGAAGTCATTGCGATTTGAAGTCTGTTGGTAACCCCAAGAATAATATATTTAATTTACATTACTTAATCTAAATTAGTAAATTAAACCATTAGCAAAGTATTAACATACTTAACTAAAAAATAACGTTACACTTTTTTCGCGAATACAATTATTATTCTCAGATTTTCTCCTCTTTAACGTATATTAACTGTAGCTGTGCCGTTATTTCCATCAGCTTAGTGAAAAAGAGGTCGCCGTTCAGGCGATGATATATGCCTCAAGTGCTGTAAAGCATTTGTAATGATGCGTCATCCGCTGTGGGAGGCTCTTTCCTCCCAACTCCCACCGCCCTCTTGCCCCTCGAAATCCCCCGGGGTGTATCACTTTTGGGGTGGCTCTTGGCAACAATAACAAACAACACAGGCCACACTCGCAGTTTTGTTGGGGCATGGGAAAAAACAAAGGAAAGTGAATGACCGCAGCAAGTCTCAGATCTTTAGATTAGACAGACGGTCTGTAACGATTCCTAGTTGAGTGCTTTCTACCTCGTCAAAACAAAATATTAAAAAACAGAAAAAAAATTATTCCGATATTTATGTTCTTCACGTCATTTCGATGTGTTTTTCAAGGTAATTTATATATTTAATTATTACCTTTGTAAAAGTATTAATGAGTAGAACCTCTCATAACATAAGCCTGGGCTCAAATACCTCCGGTATTTATTTATTTAACATTTTAAAGCAAAAAACAAAATTGTGAAAATTGACTTTGGAATTGACTGTTTGCTTATACAATTTAATTGATGCTATCTGGTGTTTATATATTAATTCCTATCACAAAAGTTTTTCTTTCTGTGCAGAAAGGCAATAACAGCGACACATTGATGTCTTCCCTTTCCATTGTACTTGTCGGTTTTTGCTTTCCTAGGGCGAATGCCGGCTGACACACACACATGTAGGTACATACGTAAATCACATTAACTGTGCTTGTGCGTTTGTGTTTGTGCTGAAATTATGAGTAATGAGCAATCTGGATATAACTCGAAATTGAGGGCCTCTGTCGACTTGTTGACTAAGTAAACATGGCCAAAACACATTAGACAAGCGGAAATCCAGTTTGCGGAGACCTACTTAAAATGAATCTTCGATTATATCCAAAACGGCGATGCACACGGAAACTGGCAGAGCAGAAAAAAAACAATGTTAAGAGCAGACTACTAAAATTCGGTTCAAACTGCTTCCAGCTAGTTTTTTTAGGTGCATGCAATAATCGCCCGACTAAAGCGAAACATAGAAAACACGACCAACATGGCTGCCAAACAGGAGGGGCGAAAAAGAGACTCCGTCAGAGAGTGGAGCCCAAAACAGGGAATCTTCCACAGAGGATGTGTTATTTATAATGCATATGGCAGCTGTGCCAAATACATTTTAAAAGCAGCTGCACACACACACACAGACGGCGCTTGCGCTCGGTGTATAAAATTCCGACACAAGTGAAAAGTGATGGTCTGCGAAAATTATTGATTTATCTGGTGTCTTAGGGATCTTCCGACTACAGACAGTTGGTCCAGCGTTTTGGCACCCAAATCACTCTTACCTTTGAAAGAATCTAAAACACAGGTTTACTTGGAGCTAATCAAGCTCTAAAATTACAGAAATTGCTGAGAAAAACGACGCGCACTCTCCAACGAACGTTGATTTCAAATGCAGCAGTGTGGCCGTGGCGGAGCTTTAAGAAATATACTTCTTAGCTATACAAAAATACCGTAAATAGGCATAACAGAAATAGCAGGCGCCAGACTTGTTTAAAGTTCCGGTAAATCAGCAGGGACTTGAACCCATTTAACACAAGATGGGCTCAATTCGTCATGCATATCCGCTTAGCAAGGCATTATTAATATTTGAAAAAGAAGTTTATAAATCAAACACTGCATTAATCAAGTGTTAAAAAATTTTTACAGAATGTTCATGTTTATTTAAATAACAGTGTATTACATACACATGAATCGGTTGGGAGAGTTAAGCCTAGTAATCAGATCGACATAATCTGTTCGTCAGCTGTGATAGAGAGTGAGATGCAAACAGCTAGCGAACGCTTTTCGTCAAGCTCTTTTTTCACCACGGTACTCAGATCGACGAAAAAATACCAGATTGCAAAGCATTGCCAGGGTGCTGAAATAAACTTTGGGTGAACGTTCGTCAGGTCCAGGGAAAAGATTGAAAAATTTAATCATTTGGATGTCTGTTGTCAGACACAAGAATAAACCAAAAAAAATAGTCTGTAAGAACTTTAAATTATGAACTTTTGGTGAACCATATCGAAAAGAATAAAAAATGTTATCTTTTGGCGTGCGCTTCTAACTGAACATTTTAAAAAATGGAGGGAATCAATCAAAAAACCCGCAAAAGTCGATTGCAGGATTTTACTTGTGAGGACAAAGTAACATTAATATACAAAATAAAAACATTTTAATGCAACCATTATAAAAAGAGCGTGGGAGGAAATAGCCTGGGAAATGGATAAAGATAGTAAGTCATGATTGTACATTATAAAATATTTGTGAACTTGGACACATACAATATTTATGTTTAAGCCTAGTATTCAGATCGACGAAAACCGAACGCCAGTCATGAGAGAGAGCGAGAGGCAAACAGCTGGCGTTCACATTTCGTCGTGCCTTTTTTTCACGTCGGTCCTCAGATCGACGAAAAAAATACCAGAAAATTGCATAGCGTTGCCAGTCTGCGGAAATGAACTTTGGGTGAGCCCTAGCGAAAAGATTAAAAAATTTAATCTTTCGGCGTGCGCTTCTCACTGAACATTATAAGAAATAGAGGGAAAGACTCAAAAAACTCGCAAAAGTCGATTGCAGGAGTTACATGTGAGGACACAATAACATTAATACTATCTGGGGTGCAAAATGTTTCTTAGGTCAAGAATGTACGAAAAAACACAATAAAAGTGCAGCTATGAACTTTAAATTAGCAAATAATTATCAGTAAATTTAAAAAAAACTGATAAATTTGAATTGTATTGTTTTTTAATTTCTTTGTACAGCGGCAGACTTGTCTTGCCCAGCTAGTTGATAAAATTGCTTTCCCGCAAATACGATATTTGAATTTGAACTGCTTGTCAACCAACCCAGCTGATTGACAGTACGACCGTAGCACGCTTAATTCTGATGAACTCTAGAAATTTTGGTCACTCTGGAAGGATTAAAGTTTTTACGCTAGCGTACTCGTTTGTCGATCTGGGTACTAGTCTTTACCTCGGTCCTCAGATCGACGAAAAAAATATATCGTCGATCTGAGTACCGAGATGAAGGAAAGGCCCGACGAAAAGTGAACGCAAGCTGTTTGCCTCTCGCTCTCTCATGACTGGCGTACTGTTTTCGTCGATCTGAGTACTAGGCTAAAGCCTAGTATCCAGATTGACGAAAACCGTACTAGCGAAAAGATTAAAAAATTTAATCTTTCGGCGTGCGCTTCTCACTGAACATTATAAGAAATAGAGGGAAAGACTCAAAAAACTCGCAAAAGTCGATTGCAGGAGTTACATGTGAGGACACAATAACATTAATACTATCTGGGGTGCAAAATGTTTCTTAGGTCAAGAATGTACGAAAAAACACAATAAAAGTGCAGCTATGAACTTTAAATTAGCAAATAATTATCAGTAAATTTAAAAAAAACTGATAAATTTGAATTGTATTGTTTTTTAATTTCTTTGTACAGCGGCAGACTTGTCTTGCCCAGCTAGTTGATAAAATTGCTTTCCCGCAAATACGATATTTGAATTTGAACTGCTTGTCAACCAACCCAGCTGATTGACAGTACGACCGTAGCACGCTTAATTCTGATGAACTCTAGAAATTTTGGTCACTCTGGAAGGATTAAAGTTTTTACGCTAGCGTACTCGTTTGTCGATCTGGGTACTAGTCTTTACCTCGGTCCTCAGATCGACGAAAAAAATATATCGTCGATCTGAGTACCGAGATGAAGGAAAGGCCCGACGAAAAGTGAACGCAAGCTGTTTGCCTCTCGCTCTCTCATGACTGGCGTACTGTTTTCGTCGATCTGAGTACTAGGCTAAAGCCTAGTATCCAGATTGACGAAAACCGTACGCCAGTCATGAGAGAGAGCGAGAGGCAAACAGCTGGCGTTCACTTTTCGTCGGGCCTTTTTTCACGTCGGTCCCCTGATCGACGAAAAAATACCAGAAAATTCCATAGCGTTGCCAGTCTGCGGAAATGAGCTTTGGGTGAACCCTAGCGAAAAGATTAAAAAATTTAATCTTTTTGGCGTGCGCTTCTCACTGAACATTATAAGAAATGGAGAGAAAAACTCACAAAAGTCGATTGCAGGTGTTTACATGTGAAGACAAAATAACATTAATACCATCTGGGGTGCCTTTTGTCAGAGAAAAATGTTTTTAGGTCCAGAATGTACGAAAAAACACAATAAAAGTGCAGCTATGAACTTTAAATTAGCAAATAATTATCATAAAATTAAAAAAAGAACTGTTAAATTTAAATTGTATTGTTTTTTAACTTTTTTGTACAGCGGCAGACTTGTCTTGCCAAGGTATTTGATAATATCTTTTAAGAGCTCTTTCCCGCAAATACGATATTTGAATTTGAACTGCTTGTCAACAAACCCAGCTGGTTGACAGTACGACTGTAGCACGCTTAAATCCGATGAACTCTCGAAATTTTGGTCACACTGGAAAGATTAAAGTTTTTACGCTAGCATACTCGTTTGTCGATCTGAGTACTATGCTTAAAGCCTAGTATCCACTTCGACGGAAACCGTACGCCAGTCATGAGAGAGAGCGAGAGGCAAATAGCTGGCGTTCACTTTTCGTCGGGCCTTTTTTTTACGTCGGTCTCCTGATCGACGAAAAAAATACCAGAAAATTCCATAGCGTTGCCAGTCTGCGGAAAATAACTTTGGGTGAACCCTAGCGGAAAAGATTAAAAAATTTAATCTTTTGGCGTGCGCTTCTCACTGAACATTATAAGAAATGGAGGGAAAAACTCAAAAAACTCACAAAAGTCGATTGCAGGTGTTTACATGTGAGGACAAAATAACATTAATACTATCTGGGGTGCCTCTTGTCAGAGCAAAATGTTTTTTAGGTCCAGAATGTACATTTAACACAATTAAAGTGCAGCTATGAACTTTTAATTAGCAAATAATTATCAGTAAATTAAAAAAAACAACTGTTAAATTTAAATTGTATTGTTTTTTAATTTATTTGTACACCGGCAGACTTGTCTTGCCAAGGTATTTGATAACATCTTTTAAAGGCTCTTTCCCGCAAATGCGATATTTGAATTTTAACTGCTTGTCAACAAACCCAGCTGATTGACAGTACGACCGTAGCACGCTTAAGTCTGATGAACTCTCAAACTTTTGGTCACACTGGAAAGATTAAAGTTTTTACGCTAGCGTAATCGTTTGTCGATCTGGATACTAGGCTTAAAAGAAGAAGGTATTAGGAGTCCCCCAAATATATGTATACCCGAAACGCTCAGCAGAGTATTTCAGTATATTTCTCAAGGTGTTTTATATTTGTTGTCCCCTAACTTTGGTCACACTCCAAAATTTTGGATTTTATTTTCTGTGTGTTTTTTCCAGATATTCTCCCGATTCTAGCTCTAAGCTTTTGTGTTTTTTTCAAAAGTTTTGTTCGTCTCCACGTGAATGCAACAAATTGCGATAGTAAGTACAAAAATCTGGATGGGGGATGCCGGCAATAAAAAACATGAACGCGGCGAAAGTTTCCCGCACGAAAGGGCACAATGTGGCACACATTAGCACACAAACAATAACAGATCGCTTTGCTTGCGAGGGGAATCATAACAAAAAATGGTAACGAATAGGGGATACATTAAAAGGTACCAGGTTTTGTGAAAATTCTGGCCCCTGCCGATCGTGTTCCAATGGCTGGCGATGACTTGGAGGTCGCCGTCTTTCATATCACGCACCCTTAAGCAAAGAACAAAAAAAAAAAATTTGCAAACACCTAAAGTTTAAAAAAATGTAATCCATTCTTTAATGTATAAAATGGCATACACCAAACATATTTTTATTTTGGCGCGCTAATGGCAGATATCCCTGTTGCAGGAAACCACTAGAATTTAATGCCCTACCCACCGGCATGGCGGTCAAGGTGCAATTCGAAATTGGCCACACGTCGAAGCTGCGCAGCAAGAAGACCCCGCATCCGCAGTCCTTCACACACGATTGGGAGATCTACGTGCAGGGCGTGAACAAGGCGGACATAAGCGCCTTTGTGGAAAAGGTGGTCTTTCTGCTGCACGAATCGTTTCCCAAACCTAGGCGAGGTAAATGTGGAAATCGTATATACACCACAAGCACCCCTTGAATCTATATTTCTTGTTCGCAGTGGTCAAGGAACCGCCGTATGCCATTCAGGAGTCGGGCTACGCCGGCTTCTTGCTGCCCGTGGAGATCTTCTTCCGTAACCGGGACGAACCCAAACGGATTATTTACCAATACGATTTAGTGCTGCAGACCACGGGTCCGCCGCAACACCACGTCGAGGTGAAAACGCACATCTTCGAGGCCCCGTCAGAGGAATTCAAAGCGAAGCTTATGCGTGGCGGCGGGGTTCCCGTGTTTGGGGCCAACATCGGCGCTAGCAGCCTTACGAGAACGCTTTCGCCAAGCGTTGGAAGCTCTGAGACGCCGGCAAACAACGATATGGCTCTGGTCAAAGCTAAAGGCGTCCCTGGAACAATCTCGCTTAACGTAGATCTGGGGGCCGGCAAGAAGCACAAGTCGCGCAACGAGGATCCTGGCAAGAGCAACGCCTTTTCCGCCCTCTTTGGCGCACCCATCACAAAGGGCAGCGCCACGACCAACAACATGGCCTTAGTCCCCGTCTCCAAGCACTCGCCAGAGGCAAAGACCGTTGCTCTTAGCGGCAAGGGCGGCTTTCACGACGGGAGAGACAAGGCTAGCAAGGATCGGGACAAATCCAGCAGTGGAGACAAGCCGCGGGACAAGGACAAAAAGGATCGGCACGGCCGCGACAAGGATCGAAAGTCGAGCAAGTCCGTCGACGGTAAGCACGAACGGGATAAGGAAAAGTCGAAGAAGGACAAAACTCGCGATAAGGAGCGTGATCGGGAGCAAAGCTCAGGCAATACTTCATCCGTCGGCGGTCTGGTGATGGCAACATCCACCACTCAAGTTGCAGCTGGAGCACTTATAAAGCACACGGCAAGTCCAAGGCCCGGAAAGCCAAATGAGATGGGTGCGCCCAGTCCCAAGAAGACAGCAATTGACCCGACCGCGGGTACTGCTGCACCTGCATCCCGATCCAAAGAGCGCGATGAGCACAAGTCGGGTAAGTCAGAGTCCAAGGACAAGGAGCGCAGCTCCAGCAAGAAGTCTAAGAAGGAGAAGAAGGACAAAGACAAGGAGCGCGATCGAGACCGGGAGAAGCAACGCGATGAGAGTAAAGACAAGCGAATGCCCAAGGATGACCGTCATGGCCAGAGCGACAGTCCGGCTTCGGGAAACCAGCAACCTGCCCAGCAGTTGCAGCAAAACCAGTTGGCCGGTACAGGTAAGGCCACCCCCACTTCTGTGGGCAGCAACAGCAGCAGCAGCGTGATATCAAACAGCGGCAAGCAAAAAGAGGAACCCACGGGCAAACACGGCGAAAAGCCCTCGGAACCCAAGGTGGATAAGGGCACCAGCAACGGGAATGCGGCGGACACAAAGAAATCCCACAAACACAAGAAGAAGGATAAGATTAAGGATAAGGAACGCAGTGATCGGGACAAAGACAAAGATAAGGAGCGTGACAAAGAGAAGCCAAAGGAGCGAGAAAAAGACAAGCAGCCACCGACCACTTCCGAGAAGGTCTCAGCTGCCGAACCACCGCCCAAAACCGAGGGAACGAGTCCAGCCACCGAAGGAGGGGCACCGGACAAGATCGCAGCAAGTGTCAATCCCAGCGGCAGCAGCAAGAAGGAGAAGCACAAAAAGTCTAAGGAGAAATCCTTCGGCAAGGACGAGAAGCGTCAGCGAGATGCGGGGGATAAACAACCCGAGCTTAAGCACACTGGAAAGCAACAGCAGACGCATCCGCAGCCGCAGCCGGGTCAAAACAAGGTACCCAGCAATCTGGATCTTAGCGATGTTGACTCAGCACAGTCAGCACCGGATTTGGCGGCCACAAATGCTTTGGCTGCAGCAGCAGCTGCCACTCTTCAGCACTCCGACAGCTCTAACAGCAGCTTTCCGGACCTACCCGCCAGGGCCACCAGCCAGCAAAAGGCGGCGAAAGGTTGTGTGGGTCCCGGCAAGGAATCAAAGACTGCTGGCAAGGAACACAAGGGCAAGTCCAAGCAGAACGATAAGAACAGCGACAAAAATAGTCCCAAGACGGAAAAAGCTGAAAAAACTCCAGACGCCAAGCTTGAAAAGTCAGAGAAGTCGGACAAAGAGGAGAAGAAGCGCAATCGAAGAAGCTCACAAAATAGCAACAGTGGCAGTGGCGGAGGAGCAACCGGTGGCTTTATAGAGCCTCCTGTTAAGCCGTCAAGGAAAGAGCAGAACAAAGCGCAGCGAGAAAAGTCAAAATCGCCCTCTCTACGTCCACCTAGAGATACCAACTCGACCGGGGCAGGCGTAGGTGCAACCAATGCGGGTTCAGGCTTTCTACCGCCGCCATCGTCTTCGCCAAGCAACAACCACACCGGACCTGTTACGGCAGCTAGCTTAAACAATAATAATAACAACATCAATACAAACAGCAACAGCGGCCATTCGCCCGCTGAAATGACGACGGCAGGACAGCTTCAATTACCTACTGAGTATTTAAGCGAGCTACAGGAGTTGCACCATAAGATTATGACCTTGCAGGACAACGAGGAGTTGCAACAAGTCGTGGAGATGATCGCGGCCACTGGTTGCTACGAGATCACGCACAAGACGTTTGACTTCGACCTGTGCAAGCTGGACCGCGGCACCGTGCAGCGGCTCCAAGAATTCCTGGCCACTTCGGTGTCGTGACACTCCCTGACCCCCACAACTGGCCCGGCTCTCTACAGCTAGATGTTGCACAAAGCCCCCATGCACATAACCAAATTATAAAGCTTAGTGTTAACGTTGTAAGCCAAATGGAAAATAACTTGGCTCGACAACAACGATTCCCCTGCCTAGATCCTAAGTTGTTGGCCCGAAGGGCACACAAAATCCGAAAGATTTCACTTATGAATATAATGAAATTGTCCTTTAGTTTTTGAGACTCATTTGATTTAAGACCTAATTTTTATGTTTTTGGTATCCTATTCGATTATACTTAGCGATTTTTACATTCTACGCTTTTTTTTCTAGACGCTACACTGCATTAGTTTACACAAAGAGTATACTTCTTTAAAAGCGTATTTCGAAGACTTGTTTGAAGTCTAAAACATGTTTAAAGAAAACATATTTAATGGAATATCTCAAGAACGGTTACTTAAAAACGACCTTATCTAATTAAAAATAAAAGTTGTTAAAGTGTTCGCAAAAAAATGTATCATTTGCAAACTATTGTTTATTATTTGCGAATAAATTACTACTTTTGTACAATATATACTTTTGGTTTATTTTTCGTTCCTCTTAAATTTATTCAATATATCATAGTCCCAAGTATTATAGTTAAACGCCTAATATAAAAGGGATATACCTGTGCAGTGTATTTTAGACCATGTTTACCATGGCTTGATTTGTCGATCTGAAGCAGCAAATTAAATATTAAGCTCTACTTAAGAAAAGGATTAATGAATCCCAAGTAATCAGTAAAAGGGAGTGAAATGCTCGCATCAGCCTTGAAATATATAAACTATGTATGGATAAACCAAAGGAAGTGCGTCTAGTTTGTCAAGTTTACTGGCATGTGTACATATATACGCAATTACGAATTTACGCAAGCAGTTATTTTAACCCAATAATTTATTGTACATGAACATCATTAGATGTGGATGATCTGGTGCAATCCCCCCTTCCCACACCCATATGCGTATATACTTATCGTAAGTGTAAGCTAAATTTAAAAGTATTTAAATAAACAATTACAGGCGTCTAAAAATATAACTTATGATGACAACCAATAGTTGCTAAAAAATTGAAATTACCCAAAAGCCATGAGTTGACTCGTTTTACTTTCTTCGCACATACAAAAGATATTTTTTATTACCACAATTCTATCGTTGATTAAAGGAACCTATATTACAAAATGAGGCAGATATTTTAACTTATAAGATATTTTAACTTTGGACAAACTTCAAAATACTTTAGCGCTGGGAACAGTGCAAAAATCTATTCGAGTCGATTGATTAGCAGTTCTATGTTTTGGACTAGGTTTTGTGACTTCGAACTAGTTGCGACAATAGCAGTACTTCCGCAGTTCGGGATCACGATTGTATATGCATCGTGCCTGATTTCCATACTTGTTAACTCGCGAGATATCCGTGAGTTTCGTTGTGGCACTAAACGTGTGCAGGCTATAGGCCACACTCGCCTCGAACAGCCCCTCACCGGGCAGCGTAACCAGCTGCAGCTGATACATCTCATCCCTTACCAGCGTTTGACCCGTCATGTCCGCCAGAAAGCCGTCCTGGTCGCTGTTCGTCTTGAATTGTAGCAGTTCCTTATGCGGTTGCAGGCGCAGCGCCCAGTTGACTCGGAGAAGCTGCAAAAGAACACAAATTTCGGATTGGATTACTCAGTGGTTTATATAGTACACATACAGTGAAACTACCTTATCAAATCTCTTCCTCTTAATTGCACTAAAAAAAATTTATTTATTACCAAGCAAACTATTATAAAAACATATTAAAATGGAAATCCAGTGGAGCTGTTTTGGAGCTTAATCGGTACAAAACAAATACTGGACTGCACTGAATATAAAAACTAAGTCAAAATATTAGCTTTTACATCTTTCCTATGCCACAATTTATAAGACTACAACTAAGATTGATTTTAGTAGTTTTTCTACCAACCTGCAGAGGTGCACAGTGCTGGCGTTGCTCGACTGTGGCCGTGTTGATGGCACTGACAATGCTCTGGGCTGCCTTAAAAATGATGCCGGTGTATCGGGAGTCGTTTAGCTGTAAAGGCAGCCAATTAAGACACGCACACCAATGTGGCTCTATATAAGCGTCGGCACATGATCGATTGCTGGGAATGGGATTCAAGAGCGACATGGCTCGGCCCCGAGCCAAGTCTGAGATGTGAATCCCGGGATTGCTGGTTTCTATTTTCCAATCATTGCTCCCTCCTAACTGTTCTTCCCCGACAGCGGTTTGCAGTTCTTTACAAAAAGTATAAGTTAGTCACTTCATGAAATTAACAAAGTTCATTCTTACGTATTATGTGCTTCAGTGTGGCATGTATGTCAAATGGCGTCGTCAAGTGCTGCTCGTTAGCCAGAAAATTCTTGTATTCCTGCGGAAAGCGCTTCTTAAACGACTCAGGAAACTTGAAACTAAAGAATGGCAGTCGCTCTTCCTGTTTGCCCTGCAGTGTGGCTCGCACATCGGCAAATCGATTACCATGATCGGCCATCATGATTAGAATTGTGTCGTCTAGCAGCGATCGTTCCTTTAGCGCCACCAGCCAATCGTGGACATCATCATCCGCTGCGCCCACCAGGTTGATAGAATCGTGTGACAGACCGCCATGGAAGCTGAACACAAAACGAGGGGCATCGCGATACTTAAGCATAAACTGGAAATAGCATGATTAAAATAATTAATTAGTGCGATTAATGTGACGTAACACGAATAAAAATTACATTTTTAGTGTATTCAAGCATGGTTACATGATCCGGCTGGTGGCCAATGCAGTTGGGCTGGCTCTCGGCGAACATGTGCTCCGCCTGGACATAATAGGTGCGCAGGTAATGGTCCACGGGCTGGGCCTCAAACCCGGTCATGCGGTAGGTGAAGGTGCCCACATTGGGCAGGTCTTCGTTAAACGAAGTCATATATCCCAGGCGTGCAAAGTCCTGCCAGATCATAGGATACGAGTCCACGCTACCCGCTCCGGACAATCGCTTCCGCGTCTCCGGCAGCTCCAATTCTGTGAAACCCGTCAGCAGAGGCACCAGGGCCTGCGGTGTTCCATCGCCCACGATGTTGTAGCCCTTAAGAACGGTGGCGCCCAATTGTTGGGTGAGATACTCGTAGGTCCGGGGCAGCTTTCGGATGAAGGCGTTGCGACTCAGCGAATCGAAGCCGAACATGAGGACATTGTAGAAGGACGCTGTGGGCACATCCTGCATTTGAAGCTGAGCCTGGGCCACAGCTTCCGGCGGCAAAACAGCCAGATTCGGGGAAAAATTGGCGGCCAGGGGACGAGGCACAGTATCTCTAATGCCATGGGCCATTCCAAACCAACTAGGTAAATAAATATAGCATGTTAAGCAAGGGTAAGGGTTTGGGAGTCAGATGGAAGTCACCTATCGCCGGTCGAGGATCGGCAGGCCACCTTGACAAAGTCGCTGGCCTGTAGAACGTAGGGCTCCTTCAAGCGCAGTGTTCTTCCGAAGCGTACTTTGTAGTCCGACTTGCGAATGATATCCGTGTAGAAACATGTCACATCCTCATGGCTGGACGCAATTTCCGGGCGAACAAAGCAAATGGATTTCTGTGTCAGAATAGGGAGTTACCAATGATATCCTGTGGATGTAATTTAACCCTGATTTAACCTCGCATATCACCCAATCCATTCCCTCGCCGCAGTTGATTCGTTCCACGGGCTTGTAGAACTTCATGATGTCCGGATTGTCCAGGGGCAGATGGGGGTGGCGGCACACCCCTTGATTCATCAACGATCTTATAGAGCGCTCGATAATTTCGCTTTATCAGAAGAGCATTCATATAAGCAAACATCCTACGATCAATACTGAAAAACGCTCGCGACGCACAGCTATACATACATCTTAACGTTTTTATCCAAATCTCGCTCGTCTTTCAATATATACAAGGTAACCATCAATATCACCAGAAAGCAACCTGCTGTGATTTTGGGGACAGTTCCCCGACGGACGAAACGCATTTTGAATAGTTTATAAGCTAAAAAAAATGGACCAGACTTGAAAGAATTTTTTCACATTTCTGTAAAATCTGCGCTTACTTCTTCTTCGATTAGTACGATGCTTTTTGGCTGCACCACATGAATTCCATCGGCGTCGCCTATTTAATCCTTACTGATTTACGTACATTTTAAAGTTAAATTATTAACAATAATGACTAAACCGCTCAGCTGGACGTACCGCTATATGCAAAGGCCCAAAAATGGCAAAATTATTAAAAATTTTGGTCATACTGCATTAGTTGGCAACGCCACCGTTACCTTTGAATCTAAATTTGATCATATGACAGCAGAAAAATTATGTCTCCAGCTTTTTTACCTTTGAAAAAAATAATAGGTTTCTGAAACCTATCACATGTTTTAGGTTTTATATTAAATCGTCTTTTTAAACATGCATACATGCTTAAACAATAGAACGAACTTAAGGCTTATGCCCTATAAATGGAAATAATTTCTTTTAATTACAGCTTTATAAAGATATTTATATCGTCTGACTACTTTATATCATATTCCATCTTTATTCCATCGCAGAGTAAAATATATGTAACAGGTTGAAAGCCGTTTTTTCAACATATGAAAAATGTATTTTATTGATCAGAATCAAAAATGATCATAGTTGGAAAATCCACGCCCTCTATTACGCCCATAAATCTGTAGAGGCATGGTATTCATACGATGAATATATAGCATACAAAAAATTTCATATTCTCTTGCCTCGTAGTATTCTGAAATAATGTTTTTTATTTTTGTATTTAAAAAACATTTTTTAAAATTACTTTTAATCACTTTTGGTCGTCCATTTTGTAAAAAATTATTATCGAAGCAGAAAAATTACATTATATTTTCCGCGAGCAAAATGTAAAACATCTATTTTCACTTTAAATAACGAAGAATTCGCACTAATTTTCACATTTGACTTAAAGTCTTGTCAAAAAGCTTGAGCAAAAGCTTATTGGCTGAGAATTCTAGGCAAACACTCAGTCGTGCGCCAAGCTCAGCTTCGGCCTCTTCACTTCACTCCGATCCGTGGGAATTCCGTTTTAGTACCCGTATCGTTACGTCCATATTATCGCACCTTTTATTTTGATAACTGCTTCTGCAACGGAACTGCAATATTGCAGTAAACAAACCACTGACGACGTCTTAAAAAGAATAAGCCTGTCCGTTTGCGTAATCAAAATGTTGAAGCTAACATTCATTTGCCTCTTCTTGGAAATGTTGCCAAAATCATCAGCGGGCCGTAAGTAAACAAAGGTCTGCCATGATTACCATCTGCTGGGAATGACAAGCTTTAAAGTATTTGCTTTGCCGCGGGCCTTCATAAATTGTTCAAAACCTGTTTCCGTATTTCTATAACAAAAGATATAATTTATTCACAAAAATGGTAAGCTACTTATATAAATAAAACTGCGAAATTCCAGAATTTTACTTCCCCAATGAGGCGGCCCAGGTGCCCAACTATGGGCGCTGCATAACGCCCAACCGAGAGCGGGCTCTGTGCATCCACCTGGAGGACTGTAAGTACCTGTACGGTCTCCTGACCACCTCCCCGCTGCGGGACACGGACCGGCTCTACCTGAGCCGCAGCCAGTGCGGCTACACGAATGGCAAAGTGCTGATCTGCTGCCCAGATCGATACCGGGAGAGCTCCTCGGAGACTTCGACGTCGGCTAGACCCAACGTGACCAGTTCGAGCCTGCTGCCGCTGCCAGGACAATGCGGCAACATCCTGTCCAATCGCATATATGGCGGTATGAAGACCAAGATCGACGAATTCCCCTGGATGGCTCTAATTGAATACACCAAGGGTGACTAAGGTATAATTCGCCCGAACAGTCTTACTCATCGATGCTTCCTTTCAGCCCAGGGAAAAAAGGGTCATCACTGCGGCGGCTCATTAATTAGCACACGGTATGTGGTGACAGCCTCCCACTGCGTCAATGGAAAGGCGCTGCCCAGCGACTGGAGGCTGACTGGAGTCCGTTTGGGCGAGTGGGACACCGCCACCAATCCAGACTGCGAGGTGGATGTTCGCGGCATGAAGGACTGTGCTCCAGCGCATCTGGACGTGCCCGTGGAGCGCAGTGTGCCGCATCCCGCCTATATACCGGCATCCAAGAACCAGGTGAACGACATCGCCCTGCTGCGTCTCGGTCAGCAAGTGGAGTACACCGATTTTGTGCGTCCCATTTGCCTACCCCTGGACGCAAATCTGCGGGCGGCCACCTTCGACGGCATCACCATGGACGTGGCCGGATGGGGCAAAACAGAGCAGCTATCGGCGAGCAACCTTAAGCTCAAGGCGGCCGTGGAGGGATTCCGAATGGATGAGTGCCAGAACGTCTACAGTAGTCAGGAGATCCTGCTCGAGGAGACGCAGATGTGTGCGGGCGGCAAGGAGGGTGTCGACTCCTGTCGCGGTGACTCCGGGGGCCCGCTCATCGGCCTGGACACGAACAAAGTGAACACCTACTACTTTCTGGCGGGCGTGGTGTCCTTTGGCCCAACACCCTGTGGCTTGGCCGGATGGCCAGGCGTCTACACTCTGGTGGGGAAGTATGTTGACTGGATCGAAAACACTATTGAGGCCTGAGAGCTGTGGAATAAAAACTTTTGCTCTTGTAAAAAATTCGACTTATGAAATCTTTTTAAAAGTGATTTGAAATGTAAAATAGCCTTTTCAAGATATTTATTGATAGAAATGATTTTGCTATAATGAATATAATTTTTGCTTTAACTATTATTGCCAATACTTAAAATTTAAAAATTCTTATAAACAACATACAAGTTACAACACTTAATGTAAATCCCCAATCCCTTGTCCAGACTTTAATTCGGCAATTTTTTAGACATAGTTGCACTTTAAGCAGTAACGTTATAATTTAAAAAGTAAAAATGAAATTTTTTTTGTTCTGTTTTTTTAAATAAATTTTAAAAAAGCTCTTATTTTAATTTATAAATTACAAATAAAAGTTATTTTATGGTTTTTATTCAAAGAATTACTGTTATTCTCTGATTTTGTTTTAGAAGTCGAATGTTAATGATTTTTATTATTAAAAATAACTGATTTTAACTGATTGTTATTTCGAGAAATCAGGCACAGCAGTTATTATTATTACAATGATTTTAATTATAAAAATACTTATAAGTGTTATATTACAATTTAAACAAGAAAGGAAGCAAACTTCGTTATCCCGAAGTTTTTATACCCTTGCAGTTATTACAAATCGACTATATTTCGATTTCCTTGCTTATATTACTAAAAACAATGAAGCCATGTCGATTTTGCGCTGTATTTTGTTTTTGACAAAACTGAAAGCGTTACTCTGATATAGTAAATAATTAATATATCTCAAAGGAATATTTTAATAAATAAAAAAACAGCAAAATACGATTTTTTAATTTTTTGATTTTTCTATGGGAGCTATATGAAATAGATGTTCGATTTATTAAACCCGTAATTCCATAGTATTTAAATATTGTCAAATCCCAAAGAACAAAAAAAAAAAAAAACAATTCTTCCAATTGGTCCTATGGGTGCTATATGATACAGTCGCCCGATCCGACTAGTTCCGACTTATATACTACCGGCAATAGAAAGACGACTTTTGGGAAAGTTTCAAGCAGAGACCTTTAAAACTGACAGACTAGTTTGCGTAGAAACGGACGGACATGGCTGGTGATGCTGATCAAGAATATATATACTTTATAGGGTCGGAAATATCTCCTCACTGCGTTGTAAACTTTTGACTGAAAATACCCTCTGCAAGGGTATAAAAAACATAACAATCGATATAAAGTCGATTTATGGACTAATAAATTTTTGTTATGAACACAAAATATTTTTCCTGTTGCACTAGATAAAAATGAACGTAACGAATAAAAATCAAATGTACACAAATTATAAATCAAAGTAATCAATGAAAATCACACTGCTGAACGCGAACATTATTAAATTAGTCTCTCTGTCAACTCTGGCAAAAAAAAACGGTGTAGTCTGGCAACGCTACGCAATGGTACTGGTGCTAAAAATGTTGAAGAACATATACGTAACGCCGTTAAATCTGCTTAAATCGGTCTCCAGCCTGCATCAGCAGGTGCGGGTAAGACTTGCATTCAATCAAGAAAGAGATCCCCATTCACCACTCAATCCTTTCCAGACCACGTTCATACTAAAGCGAAAATATGACCCGCCGCTCCACAAAACTAATGAGAAGCCTCACCGAATGCGGGCGAAATACTTCATTTACGACCTGGTGGAGGACACGCTGGTAAAAAAGCGGCCCAACATGGAGGTGGTACTGAAAACATTCGTCGAGGGCGTCGGCGACAAGGGCGACGTTGTGTCTATGAAACCACACTTCGTCTACAACAAGCTGCTGCTGCCAGGATTGGCCGCCTACAATACGCCGGAGAATGTGGCCAAGTACGCCAAGACAGCGGCCGAAAAATCCGCCGTAAAGCACAGCTCGGCCTACGCCCAGCGGACAGTCAATATGCTGGAGTCTATTGTCCTTGCTGTGGTAATGAACAAGGACGAACCCTGGTTGCTGGAGCCCTGGCACATCAAAGCCTCGCTCCGCAAGACCGGCTTTCACTGCAGCGAGGAGTGCATCACCCTGCCAAAGGAGCGCATTGAGGGCCCCGATCTAAAGAAGGAGAACAAGGACTTCTACTGCACCGTGACAATTAACAAGCTGGAGCAAGCAAGGGTTAAGTGCCGCCTTCATCACTGGAGCACGGATCCCAGCGAACGGCTGCCCTACGTCCTAGAGCACTGGAAGCTTCAGTCCGAGCCCCTTCTGAGTGTGGGTTCGCCTGAAAAGAGCGAATAGGCTATAGGCAAATAAAGGCGATTGTTAAAAAAAAACTGTTGGTTAATGAACAGCGTAAAAAACAGATTTTATTTAATATTTTATCAAGTTGTACGCGGATACTTAAAGGCTATATGATTACGAGTCTACATGATGTTAAGTGAGTGCGTTTAGTGCACTGCCTTCAACTCCACATCGAAGACCAATGTCGAGTTAGGGCCAATCTTGGGAGGTGCTCCACGAGAGCCGTAGGCCATGGCCGGGGGGCAGGTAATGCGGCGCTTGCCGCCCACCTTCATGCCGGCGACGCCCAGATCCCAGCCCTTAATGACTTCGCCGCCGCCCAGAGCGAACTTGAAGGGTTTGCCCTTCAGGAGGCTGTCGAATGTCTTGTTGTTGGACTGCAGTCGACCAATGTAATACACGGATACGCGTTTGCCCGGCTTGGCTTCCTCGCCCTTTCCGGCGAGCACATCCTGAACCTTAACGCCTCCGCTGATGATGCGCTGCTCTCCGGTCGTCTGTTGCTTGGGCTGCTCCTTAGCTTTAGGCTGTTCCTTCTTGGTCTCAGACTTCTCCTTTTTCTTTTGCTGCGGCTTGGCCTCTTCTTTCTTTGCCACGCCATTCTGTTCCTTCGACGATTTCTTGGCACTGGCAGCGGGCGACAGCTTAGCCACCTTGGCCTTTGGCTGTTCTTCCTCTGCTTCTGAATCGTCGCTGTCATCGTCTTCTTCCTCACCGCTCTCATCACCATCCTCTTCTTCATCGTCGTCGTCATCGTCTTCTCCATTTTCGAGGAAGGATTCGTATTCTCCTATAATCTGACTGTCGTCAGTATCCTCATCCTCCTCCTCCTCCTCCTCGCCGCTCTCATTCTCATCATCTTCTGGCTTTTTGTTTTTTTTGCCCTCCTTTTTGCCCTTCAGTAAGTTCTCGAGGGTAAAATCCTCGTCTTCATCTTCGGAGTCAATGTCGTGCAAATAGCCCAACAGGGAAACGCTGGCGTCGCCTGTAATGCGGAAAAACGTGTTACATACGGATATGCCATTGGAAATTAAACATCACGGGCTCCTCACCTGCAGTGTAAAACATAATGCGATCGCCCTTGCTGAAGTTGAGATCTAGTGCCACTTGGGGAATGGCCTTGGTCACGGTTGCAACGATGTACTCCTGCTTCTCGGCCGCCAGGTACAACCTGGCCTCCTGGCCTTTGTCGAGGGCGACGCCCGAAATGTGGAAGGACTTGATGATCGTCTGCGAGTATTTGCGCTCAGGCTTCATGTTCAAACCTGGACAAGGACAGAATTCGAGATGAACATGGTTTACTTTGACCGTAGAAATGGCGCCGCTCCACGCTGCCGGCAACTCAATCGCAAGCACGTGGCTGCGGAAAGAGCGCAGGAGGCGTAAAACGCTAGAGGCAGGGGTTAAGTAGCTCTGGACAGCAATTCTTAATTTTTGATAGTTGAACTTACCCCAAAACATCGACATCTTAAAGGAATAATGCGTACTCTCGACAGAAATTAAAATAATAAAAAGAGGAATTAATCGTCAGAACGGAACCACAGACGCCGACTTCGGTGTGCACAAAAATGTTAAAGTAGAGAATACCGAAACGCTTTTAAAAAGTAGTACCCAACTGGTCACACTGACCTGAACTAAAATAAATGAACGCAAAATAGTATCGTAAAATACGCTACCATTCCTTCATCGTGACTGTAATGAACAATAATAGCAGAATTTTTAAAAAATCGAATACTATTCAGACTTAGGTCTTTTAAAAATCGAAAAAGTACAATTTTGTTTATTCATTAGAGTTGCAGACAATATCGACAAAACTTTTTTTAAAAATATTTTAACAACCAAAACAGTGCACAACATTAATATTTTTTATACCTTGGTTGAATCACGGTAAAAAAAAATAAAATTAAAATAAAGATAAAACTGTACTGAATTCAAAACGCTTTCGGAAAAATTACTGCCGTAGATGATAAAAAATAGCCCACTCCATTTTAAAACCAATTAAAATTAAAGAACAGTTTTTCGTAACTCGAGCTATCGAGATATACCAACGTGGGCGGGACAGTCGAGGATTGGTAGCATAATCGAAATAAAGCTCGAGGCAGTGAAGCAGATTTAAAACTCGTGCTCACATGGTGCCACCATCTAACAAAAGCCGATAACAGAAAAGAGGTCTTTTAAAAAATAGCTTACATCTGATTTATAAACAAATTGATGCGTGCCCCCATTTTCTTAATTTTACGAGACTGGTGTACGGAAACAAAGACATGTACATTTAACTTGATTTCCCATAAAAACGATCGGTTAGAAACTTAAATCCATGATCTACCAGTAGAATGGTTGGGTATTTTGAAAGATGTGAAAATTGTGCCCTCACTGAGCCACCATTAAAAAATATTTGTCTCTATTAATCTTTTTTAAAAATACTTTTTCCTGCTTTTACTTATGAATTATTAAATAATTGCTTGCAGATATTCTATAAAGAAATTCCTGTCTGGAGGATGGTGGTGCATGGTGCTGCCTAATGTGCATTAATTTACACAAGGGCTTCCATAAGAAAAATGTGGTCATTCAAATGAAATGTGTGTGGATTTTAGTTGACGGTGCTGCCAGATCGACGGTGTCCGATAGTATTAAATAAACTTCGATAGTATCGGTGTAGTATCGAAGTTTCTTGCAGCTCTGAACACGGCTCTTCTCCCAAATCCTGAGAAGAAATATTGCACTTATTTGGTTCTCGCAATCGCCACATCAAAACTCCTGGGTCGTGAGAAATGGCAGATGAAGCTGGCAGCCAAGCAGATGGCCAGCGGCAGTTTATATGCGGTGTAATCGAGGGATTCTACGGCCGGCCGTGGACAACGGAGCAGCGTAAGGACCTTTTTCGGAAGCTTAAATCCATGGGATTGAGCTCCAGTCCGTCCTACATGTACGCGCCGAAGGATGACTACAAGCACAGGGCATACTGGAGGGAGCTGTACACCGTGGAGGAGGCGGATCACTTGTCTAGTAACTAACTTTTGATCTAAGCAAATCCTTCGGTAAATAGCTATTTTTGCAGGTCTGATTGCGGCAGCCAAAGAGGCCGGGATTAACTTCTACTACGCCCTTTCGCCCGGACTGGACATGACCTACAGCAGCCCCAAGGAGATCGCCACACTGAAGCGCAAGCTGGATCAGGTGTCGCAGTTCGGCTGTGAAGCCTACGCCCTGTTATTCGACGACATCGAATCGGAGCTATCAAAGGCGGACAAGGAGGTCTTTCAGACGTTTGCCAATGCCCACGTGTCGGTCACCAACGAGATATACACGCACCTGGGCAGCCCCAAGTTTCTCTTCTGCCCAACCCAGTACTGTGCTTCACGGGCCGTGCCTACCGTCCAGGAGTCGGAGTACCTCAACACTCTAGGCTCCAAGCTAAATAATGACATTGACATTCTCTGGACGGGGGACAAGGTCATCTCCAAGACCATTTCTATTGAGTCCATTCAGGAGATAACTGAGGTTCTGCGTCGACCTCCGTGCATCTGGGACAATCTGCATGCCAACGATTACGACCAGAAGCGCGTCTTCCTGGGACCATACAGTGGCCGGTCGCCGGAGTTGATCCCGTACCTGCGAGGCGTTATGACGAACCCTAACTGCGAATTCTACGGAAACTTCGTTGCCATCCACTCGCTGGCCTTCTGGTCGCGCTGTAGCCTGGACTCCAAGGTTAACAGCTCGCTCAGCGCAGACATTAAACTGGAGACTGAAAACGAGGATGAGGTGCCTGCGGAGTTCCTCTCCAAGAACGTGTACCACCCGCGAGTGGCTCTTAAGTTAGTCAAAGTAAGATAAGTTCTTAAGCAAAGCATTCTAACCGAAAAATATTTAAAGAAACGCTATTACGGACTGGCTGCCGGAATTCTTCATGGAGAAGGAAGCCTGGGGACCTATCACAAAGCCGCAGCCGCAAGTGCAAATGGTCATGCCCATCATTCCCATTATACCCTCTATCAACACCTGCATGAGTCTCACTACCACCACAACCACTTCAACGAATTCGAGGACTGTTCCAGAGGTCAACACCACCCAACTGCAAGCCCTGGCTGATGTTTGGTAAATTTATGTTTTCTTGTGTATAAAATCCACTATTACACACAGTTAAATTATTAATTACAGTGTTGTGACCTCCTCCCTGACACCTATCTCCAATCCAGTGATGAACTCTTTGGTGTCGCCCACAAAAGTGATTACGAACGACGATATCATAAATCCCATACCGACCACAGCTGCCAGCAACATTGAACTGCCTAAAAAGATACCTATCTCCGTTGTCTCTGTGCCCATAATGGAGGCGAAAAGTGTAGAGGCATCCGTAGATCTGGACAATGCAGTTTTTGATAACAATTTAATTAAACCGAATAGTGAATCGGCAAAGGAGCGTCTTGAACTAGAGATGGACGATTTGGAGGAGAAGCAGGAACCAGTGGCCAGTCTTAGTGTGGATACAATGCTGGACGAAGCCAGTCTAAGTCCAGTTAGTGGCGGAGTCAACGAGCCTATGGAGTGCAGCAGTAGCATAGCCTCTCAGGTCTCTCCGAGGGAGGAGGAGGCGATCAAACTGGTGGCAGACGATGTACTGATGGAGTCTGTTAATGATGTGCATGTTAGTATGATGTTAAATATGAACAATTGGTAATTAACTACCTATTCTGTTTATCTAGAGTATGCATGTGGAGAGTGGGACTTCGTCGCCGATCTTAAATGCGGAAATGGGAGAGGAGAACGAAGCTCAGTCTGTTAAGATCATCGATAATAAGTATGTAAATATTCATTCAAAAAAATACCATTTTTTTTTGGTGATGGTAGATTTGTTTATAGCCTTGCAGAGGGTATTACAATTTCAGTCAAAAGTTTGCAACGCAATGAAGGAGACACTTCCGACCCTATAAAGTATATATATTCTTGATCAGCATCACCAGGAGAGTCAATCTAGCCATGTCCGCATGTCCGTCCGTCCTTCCGTTTCTACGCAAACTAGTCCTTCACTTTTAAAGCTATCAGCTTGAAACTTTCCCAAAAGTTGTCTTTCTATTGAAGGTTGTATATAATTCCCATAGGAACAATCGGAAAAAAATTAAAAAAGTATAACTTTGTTGTTTTTAATTTTTTGTTTGTTCTTTGGGATTTGATATTTAAATAATACGGATTTGCGGTTTTAATTAAATTAAGATCGGGCATCTATATTATATAGCTCTCATAGGAAAATCAAAAAATTAAAAAAATATATATAAAAAAATTTTTATTTTGCGTTTTTTTCTATTTACCAAAATATATCTTTGAGATATAGTAATCATTTAATTACGCTTTAAGTTTTGTTAAAATCTGACAACAATATCATATAGCTGCCATAGAAGCGATGCTAAATTGTTTTTTAGTAATATAGACATAGAAATCGAAATGTAGTCGTTTTGTAATAACTGCAAGGGTATATAAGCTTCGGCTTGCCGAAGATTGGTTCCTTTCTTGTTTTATTTTGAGTTAATTGGCTAGAATAGACATTCTACACACACTACACATTCCATTAACAAACTCAAAAACTAAACTAAAGGTTGTTTTACTCTAGTTCGACCGCAGGCGGATACGAGTCAAAGATAACCGTTGAGGATTTGAGTCTGCTCTGCGATCTCTTCTACCTGCCCTTCGACCACGGCAGCCGTGGCCTCAAGCTGCTTGTCGAATTCAACTGGCTAAAGAGCAACGCAAATGTGATACTGCAGGAACGCCGTGCTGGTGGCGTAATAGATGCCATCAAAACCCCCAAGCCGGAGGTTACCGAGTGGCACCAGCGATGTGAGCAATTTGACGAACTCTGCACCGACGTCGTGGGGCTTTTAATCAAAATCGCAAACTGCCAGAACAAGGAGATCTGTCATGAGCTGTACTCCTATGTGTGGGACATCTCCGGCGCGCTGTCTCTACTCAACTGCTACGTCAAGTGGTTGGCTCTCGGTCACTTTCCGCATAACACGTCTTCTTACACGGAAGGCAGCTACACTTGTAAGTGTTACGATCAGTATTTCAGTAATAGGTAATCAAGTTCCCTCCACGTCCCCTTTTAGGGTTTAGCAAAGGCTGGAAAGAGGCTTTTATGTCCGGTGACCAGGAGCCATGGGTCTTCAGGGGCGGCCTCATTGCAGACTTGCAGCGCCTGATGCCCGTGGACTCTGGCAACGACCTGTTTGTGTATAAGCTTCCGGAACAACCCACGGCTAATTACTATCTCCTGAGGCCTTACTGCAATGCGGACGAGCAGAACGTCAATGATGTGTGCACTCGCTTATATTTGCAGTGGCAGGGAGAGCCGGACGGAGGCAGCCACATACCTTTCCCGCTGCCGGCAAATGTGACCAGCATTGTAGCGGATGGGCTGGTAGGTGGACATCTCGTCCTCAGCCCGCAGCTCTGCATTGTGGCTTACGATGAGAACAACAGAGTCATAGGCTACGCTTGCGCGGCATTGGATGTCAACATATTTCGACGCAACCTTCAGCTTTGCTGGTTTACGGAGCTGCGCGAGAAGTACCCAAAGGACCTTTGTCCGCAGGAGGGTGACGAAGAGGTAAGGCGGCTCGTTTCACGCTTTGTAGAAAAGTTTCATTGCTCCAGCAGCAACGTGCCACTGGAGGACTGTCCCGTGGAGGTGAGCGGCTCCTTTCCAGCCGTACTAATCTCCGGGACTCTGCGGGAGGCCGAGGAGCGAGACTCGGGCATTACCAAGCGGATGCTCACTGTGCTCCTGGCCGCCCTGCGAGCCAATGGTTGCTTTGGGGCTCATGTTTGTGTCCCCGATGAGGACGTCGGTCAGGTGAACTATTATTCCAGGATCGGATTCGTTGATGTCTATCGCGAGGAGGCCACCAAGTGCATTTACATGGGTCGACGTTTCTAGCGTTATTTTTTATGGAAGTCAGCTTCACTGCCTCCACTTTTAATGTTCCTTCGCCATTGGTATTCCGGATAGCTTCGCTAGCCATTTCACTCTCGTCCTTGTCCCGTTTTCTCTTAAGGTAAAAAGTTTGTATTACTGACCAACCCCTCTGGCATTTATCTTAAGCACCGTTTTCTTAGCGTGAAAACAATAAAAATACCATTTAAAAACTCTTGCTAGCTGTTTCCGCTTTCTTTTTTCACGTCGTAGAACCACACGGTGTTTACTCCATCCTCGATTATCTTAACGTGCTGCAGGCTGGGCAGTGGGAAGCGGCACGCAATGATCTTGGTGTTGTGCGGACATTCGGCGACCAATTTATGTTCCAGGTCCTGCATCATCTGCTCCACTCCGAATATGACCACGAAGTTGTAGTCTTTGATATCGAACTTCCATAGATCTTGCCGGAAGAATCTCGTCTGCTTGGAAACCCCGTGATGCAATGCAGCCAGGCGGGAGTAGTATACAAGCCATGGATTTAGCTCAACGCCGTCAGTTCTCAGAGCTCTATGGTGCTGGGCCGCCGCTGGAAAGGATTACATAAGTGAAATAGACTTTTTGTAGATTCCTCCGGTTCAGCAAACTCACCCACAACGATGCGCCCGTCTCCCGAGCCTATGTCCAACAGTTTTCCGTCCGCGGCCTTGGGCAAAAAGCTCAGGACATTCTGTATTTGTTCGCTGGTGGCTGGCACATATGGTAGACAAATCCGCCTGAATGCGGGTGCTACAAAGGAGGCGCAGACAATGGACAGGCCGATGCCAATACCGCCGGTAGCCGCTATCAGAATTTTCCCTCCCGTGGAGATGCCATTTTTTTGGGACTTTGAAACTGCCTGCGGGACGCTCTCATTCAGGACTTCCATTTTTAATCAGCTGTTTAGAAAAGCTGCTAAGTGTAAAAAACGAGCCTTGTCTCCGAAATATTCATATTCGGCTATAGTTAATCGATGGTTGGCAGCCCTGCACGACATACGGCCATACGGTCACACCGCACGGGGCGCTGTTAGCTACGCCGCTTTGCAACACTGCACTGTACACACACTAGTGTTTGACATGTGGCAACACTTTTTTCGGTCTTTTGATGTGTGCGTGCGCTTCCTACTACAATTTTTCGAAGGATTTTCCGTATGTTTTGTTGACGTGCTGGGCGGCGGAAAGTGAAAAACGAAATTAAACATTGCCGTGCAACAGGGCGGGTCAGCGTTTGGCATAAAGAGCAGTGTGTGCCCCGCGTGCGTACAGGCGTAAGGCGTTAAAAATGGCGAACGTAAGGGACAGCGACACATCACTGTGGCTGCATAATAAACTGGGCACCTCGAACGACTCGTGGATAAATGGCTCGATTTGCTCGCAGCTGAACAAGGAGGTGCTGCGCAACATCAAGGAGTGCTTCCCGGACCTGCAGACGCAGGTCAAGCTGAAGCTCCTCCTCAGTTTCCTTCACATTCCGCGCCGTCTGGTGGAAGAGGTAAATGGCGTTGGTGTGTCTGTTGAAAAAGTACACCAGAGCACCCACACAGCGACACTCGCACACGTATAGAGCGTACACTTGCTGTTGGTGAAACAAAAATGCTGAAAATGTGTAAAAAGTCGGCAAATATAATAAATCCCATCAGCTGGAAAGTGTCTAAACGTGTACCCATCGTTTTTTTTTGTGATTACCGACGGGTGATTTCGATGGCTGGTGAAAATAAATATTGAATACGTTTCCCGCCACTTCTACTTTTGTGTACACATTTCTCTCTCTGCGACACTTTTGCTCTCTCGCGTGTTTAGGTGTGTGAGAGTGGGCTGTTGTGGGTGGCTCGCGGATTCATTTGTTTGTTATACTTTTGTCAAAAGGTATTCCTAGTTTAGCCACACGTTTGCAACGCAGTGAAGAAGGCATTTCCGATGAGCGCTCAGTTTAAGCACTATTGGAACCGATTTCCTTTAATTTTGTGTTTTTGAATATATTTAAATAGGGTTTGTAACTGTTCTGATTTAAAAGATATTTGCGTAAATATCGGACTAAGGTCAATATAAATAATTTGGCGGAACGAAACATTTTATATATGTAGATCGATATTAAAATATTTTCATACAATAGGCGCAATATTATTTAAAAGATATTTGCGTAAGTATCGGACTAAGATCAATATAAATAATTTGGCGGAACGAAACATTTTATATATGTAGATCGATATAAAAATATTTTCATACAATAGGCGCAATATTATGAACATGTTTTGGACATGGAACGATTCATTACAACATATAAATCGAAATTATATTTTTATGAATTTAAAAAGGATATATTCGATTGTATTTTATTTTATTATTGTATTATATTCCTTCTCCAAGGGTAATTAGACTTCGTTTATACAAAGAAAACTTATCCAAATATTGTTAATTTAAATACGCTTTTCAGTGGAAGGCGGAGCTTGAAGAGGTGATTGAGGTGGCCGGTCTGGACTCGGAGCTTTGGGTCTCCATGCTGGCAGAGACGATGAAGACCTTCCCGGCCACCAGCTCGTTAAACACAGAGATCTCCGATTACGAGGACACGCGTCCCATCTTCACAGACATGGTCAATGACTTGCGCAAGTTGGTAACTAAGCACTCGGACCTGGGTATGCTGCCCCTCGAGTGCCAGTACCTGAACAAGAACGCGCTGATCTCAGTGGTGGGTATTAAAATAAATAAAAACTCACTTTAATTCGAACTAATCCTTGTTTTCATTACAGGTGGGCCAACAGCCTGCTCCCGTCAAGCATTTTACGCTGAAACGCAAGCCAAAAAGCGCTCAGTTGCGGACCGAGCTGCTGCACAAATCTGCGGATGCGCAGTCCTCGTTGAAGAAGGCCTCGGCGCCAACAATTCCGCTCCGGTCACGTGGCATGCCCCGCAAGATGACTGACACCACTCCGCTCAAAGGTATTCCATCGCGGATGCCCACGACAGGATTCCGTTCGGCCACGGTGCCGGGAAACGCTGCACAGCGGCCAAATCTCAGTCGCACGCCCGCTGGACGCAAGGATGGCGGCATCAAACTAATCGAGTTTACCGAACAGCCGCTGGGTTATGCCGCAGCCAAGAAGCGCAAACGTGAACAGCAGCTGGAGGAGCAGCAGAAGAAGCAGGAGCAGAAGCAGCAACAGGCGGCTGCGGCAGCTGCAGCGGCCACGGCAGCAGCGGCCAATGCTGGCGATAGTTCTCCAACGGATGCAGCAACTGCCAGTGGAGGAGAAACACCCGTCACGCCCACATCGGCCAACAACAGTTTCGAAATCAAAATGGAGCCACAACTGCTCAACCAGAGCGCTGGCAGCTTGGAAGAGCCGCAGGACGAGGAGATGGCTGACAAAACAACAATGGAGTGCGACTCCGAGACGCCGGAGTACGCTACAGCCACTCTGGATTTTGCCCAGGCTACCGCCACTTCCGTGACAGATGTTCAACCTGGAAAACCCTCAGTCGAGGCTAAGTTGAAGACGCCGCGCACTCCAAAATCAGCAGCAAAGCTAAACAACAACAACAGCTTCAATCACACCCCAAAACGAATCAAGCAGGAAATCGAGATCAAGAGCGAGGAGATTATAGTACCCGCCAGCATCAAGCTGGAAAAGATCGAGACATCACCGTCGACACAGGGCCAGCAGCAGCGCGTCATAATCCAGCAGCAGCCGCCTAGCTTGGTGCAGCGAACCCCGCACCTGCTTATTCGAAGTTCGCCTCAGAAGAGACAGAACAATGGAGCCACCACAAGCTCCGCCACAACCACCGTGGGCAACACTACTATAAAGATGGAAAAGCTGGACATCAAGCCTATGCTGCGGGCTACAGGCGTCTCACCCTCGACAAGTGCGGGAACTGCGTCTACCCTCCTCACCCCGCAGCAATTACGCCAGGTGACAAATCCACTGGCCAATCTGCCCAACAACATCTCTGTGAAGATCACGTCCGCCAAGGCGAAAGCTGCTGCTGCCGCAGCGGCAGGCCCCAGTGGAAGTCAATCCCAACCGCAAGTACAGCAGCAGCCGCAGACGGTGCAGGTTCAACAGACGTCGCAGCAGCCGCAGCCCCCGCTTCTGATCAATAGCTCAACCCCCGTCATCCTGGCATCCTCACCGAGCGCTCAAAGAGCGGTAAGTTGTTTTAGAAGAAAAACTTTATATAGTGCAAGCGACACAAGTATAACTAGGAATTTTTTTTTTAAGCTAAGATAATTTATTAAAAATCAACAGGGTCGTTTAATACATCTACAAAATTTCTTTTTGTTTTGGGAAATAACAAAAAATTTCCAAATATTCTACAGGTGTTTTTCATTTTAATTAAAAACAGAACTGAAATATGAATATGGAAACTTGTCAACACCAAAAACTTAAAATAATATTTGTTGGTTTTCGAAAAAGTTTATTCCCCGCCAAATCAGCCAATATAAAAAGGAGACAGTGTGGTTGTGGACCAACCACAATGTTAAATATATAATGGTTTTTAGTTGTTTTAAAAACTTAATTTGATTCCATTGAATTTTTTCTTTGAGCTACTTATTATTATTATTATAATTAATACTTATATACCGCATACTAATCAGTGTTTCCTTATTTATTATTATTATTTAGAAGGCTTTGGCCATACCCAGCAGTAGTACTGCATCCACCACTACCACGACAATACCGTCGCAAGCCATAAAGACGATGCCGCTCAGCCAACTAAAGACGGCTACCAACAGCGGACCGGTGATTATATCGCAGACTATTATTCAACCCGCAAAACGAGCCCAACAACAGGCTGGAACCTCAAGTGCAGCGGCCGTTTCCCAACAGCAGCAGCAACAACAACAGCAGCAGCACCAGCAGCAGCAACTGTTGCACCAACAAATCCAACAGCAGACGCAACAGCAGCAGCTGCCACAGCAACAGGCGCCGCAACAGCAGCAAACGCAGTATATCCTGGCTACGCCCCAGCAGCAACCGCAACATATTCAGCAGCAAACTATGTTGCCAACGCTAACATCGTTCTCCCACAGTCGACCTTTGCCACAGACCACGACGCTTTACCAAGCCACCACTCCAGGCGGAAATGGCCAGACACCTACAAAGATATTGCTGAAGACCTCAGGCACATCGAGCGTAGTGATGACTCCTCTGCGCCAGACCCAACCGCAGCAGGCTACCGCTGTGGTTTCCTCGAATCCGCCTCCTCTGGTGGCCACCTCGGCGGCAGTGGTTTCCCCCGGGCAGACGACCACTCTAAACATTCAAAACGTACAGCTGCCCAACCGGCCAGTCACCATCCAACCAGCATCTCAGGCAGCCCAGCAGCAGCATATGCAGGCCCAGATGCAGCAGCAACAACCCCATCCTCAACACACGATCGTGGCCAACACGACGGCCACCCAGCAGCCCAAGTTGTCACAGGTCATCATGCAACCAACTGGAGCAGTTGGGGCGGGTGGCGTTTCTGCTCTGAACGTATCACCTACGTCCGGCAAGAACAAGACCATCATACTCACCCAGAAGGGCGTTATACTGCGCAACATCGGCGGCGACATGTACCAGCAAATACCCATCAGCAATGTGGGAAACCTGCAAGGGCTTGGCGGTACCACGCTTATGACCACTACGGCTGGACCGCCGAGTTTGGTGAAGACTACGCCCTCGACCGGTGTGCAGTTGCAGCAACAACAGCCCGGCAAGCAGATCCTGCCTACCCTCATACCAACCAGTTCGCTTGGTGGGCAACACGTCATAGTGCAACAGCAGCAACCCACCAACGTCATCGGCAATGTAAGTAAAACAACAGGAAAAGAGTTTGTTAAATTAATTGATAACTATCATATTAGTTCAAGACTCTGTGACTTCTTTAATTTTGGATGTATAGAATTCAAAAACCTTTTTATTTTATTTCTTATTTAGTAAAAATAAAAAATTGTATGCCACATATTTTTGACAAGGTATATTTTAAGATATAAGAGGTTAATGGTAAATCGATTCCAATTTTTTTTTATACAGTTCTTTTTTTTTTTATTAGTGATAATAATGTATAATAATACAACATTTAAACAATCTTTATTAAAAATTTGATTTAATTATTTTCAAAAGTTGAACAAAGTTAATTTGAGGTGTACATTAGAATTCACCAGAGAACTTACCAACAGATAGCATATACAATTATTAAACCTAATTTTACGATAATTTGTACAGTAAAATTAAAAATAAAATAACTCGACTCATAAAAATGACTCTTTTCAAATACATTAGCCCTCACATTTTTTCAATAACTTTAAAAAAATAAATATTTTTTAAGAGTCAAAACTAAGTGATCAAAATATATTTTAAAAGAAGCAACTTGTATGGTTTTAAAATATTGTTCAAGAAATATAAACCGAAGGATTTGAGACGTCCGTCCCAAAACTCTTTAACGATTTTTAGGACATTTTAACTAATAATATTTTTATCAGTCTCAGCAGCAGACCATCATTCGGCCAGTGATGACCAACGTTGGTGGAGGCTTGACCACGCTACCGCAGGGCCTGACGCTGATACAACGGCCGGGCCAGCAGCCGCAGCTGGTGCAGGTGCAGGCGGCGCCGGGCAGCACGCAGCGCACGATTATTTCCCAATCGAGCACGGCGGCGGCGGCGCCACAGCAGCAGCCGCGCCAGCAGCAGCAACAAATCCTGGTCCAACACAAGCCGGCTCCGACCCTGCAGCAGCGTTTGGTCACCTCCACCACCAGCGGTGGCCAGGGCCAACCGGGCAACCCGAATGCGGGGATCGCGCGCACCGTCCAGGTCCAGGTGCAAGCGCAGCATCAGCAACCACAGCAGCAACAGCAAGCTACGCAACAGCAATCGCAGCAGGCCCCACAGCGGCGCGGACTCTCGCTATCGGTATGAAGAGTGTAGAGATTTTGTTTATATTTAATTTAAACCGTCGGATTTATTCCAGAACGAGCACGTGCACAAAGCGCATGAAATGTTCCGCAAGGCGAATCGCGTCTCAAGACCGGACAAAGCTCTTATCCTTGGCTTTATGGCAGGTCTGCGTGAGAACCCCCGCCCGAATAATGAAAATGTGCTGGTCATAAAATTGGGAGAAACTGAGGTAAGGTATTTGGGACTTCTCTTTATGCCCCCGTTTCGGATTAAACAAAACGTGCTTCCAATATGACACGAGAAAATATCGCTTGGTACTTACAATGTTTTTGAAAATATGATCATAAAATTGATGTCCTAGAGAAATTGCAATCTTTTTAGATTTTTTACTAAACTTGTTTAAAAAACTCAATATGATCAAATATAAATGCCAAATTTAAACAAGAGGTAAACACTTGTACAATAAAAATATAAGATGTTTTAAGAGTATTGACGAAAACGGGATGGTTTTTTCATTAATATAATAATATAATAATAAGTAATATTGTTATTTAGGTAATGCATATTTATTTTCTGTTGGTGAATTTGGTTAATCCAGTGTTTGTTTAATTTTTGTAGGAAAAAGTTCAACAGGATAACGGCAACACGGCCCTGTGTTTGGTAGAATCGCACATACGGCTGGACTACAACACCGGCGAGTGGAAGACATTCCAGAACTACAGGCTACAGGACCAGAGCGTCGCCTCATAGTCCACGAGGGTCATACGCATAGTTCGCAGCACCAAGTGAACATGGACAGCCAGGCTGAACCTGAATATGCGTATATGGATTATGAATTATATATTTTGATTTGTCATCCGTTCTGCACGGGATGCTCCGCCGCCACCCCTTATTAGCTACTAAAACTCTCCTTTCCCCAATCCTCCCGCAGTCAGCAAAGCACCCTAAGAAATGCTGGAAATAATGAAACTATAATAATTAAGGTAAATTAGCTGTACAGTTGTTTAGTATGTAGTAAAGGCTAGCGCTTAAACATTTAGTAAACACGCCCGTTCACACATCCACAAACAAACAACCATTCATCTAAGCACACAGGCATATTCACCTCTGGTTGAACGCTTCACTGGAGAGCAGTTAAAAAGGCGGATGGGCCAGAAGTGAACGTTCGGACCGATCACATAAGAAGACACACCACAAGCAAACACTCATGCATTTCAAATCCGCATATATATATCTAGCATTATGTAATTATTGTCGAGTAAAAAGTGTGTAATTATCTTACCAAGCAGCATAAAATTTAAAGACGCTAATTTGCGCTCGTTATTCATTAGAAATCCAATGAAAATATATAGTTATAGTTATATATGTATGAGCCGCAGCAACTACAGCAAAATTAACTTAAATCTTGAAATGTGTAATAGACAAACAATAAACCTAGCATATGTATTTATGGCTTTAATGTTAAAAACGTTACATTTAGTTTATGTCGGGAAATGTGGGTCGGGTAAACTTCAGTTCAAATATTTACGGAAAAACAATATAAGTTTAACATTTCCATTCACTATCTAGGGATATCTCATTGCAAAAAGTTGGAAGAATCCACGGTCAAGTGAGCGTCAGTAAAATCAAATACCGATGTCGTTATTTATCAATTGTTGTTTCTTTAATTGTCTCGAAGTGGGAAGCTTACAACTAGTCAACACAAACTTACGAAACTTCTCGCCAAGTTACACTATGCCTAGGGCTAATACTAGGTCGTACGCTAACTAGAATAGTTAAATATAATACGTTGTGCGTGATAAATTCGCTGCAGATCTGATTCGCTGACAGGCCCGTCGGACGGGGCGGTCCTACTTGGCCACTTCCTTCCAGTGGACGATGGCGCGCTGCTCGTCCGGAGCATCCTGGAAGGGACGGCTTCCGTCGGAGTGCACGTACTCGTTGACCTGGAAGTTGAGGAGCGTCTTGTAGTGGTAGACGTCGGCCAGTTGCTGTGTCAGCGGACTGGTGTTGGTGGTGAAGATGCCGGCAAACTGCTTCTCGCGGGCCACCCGCAGCACCTCGTGCTCCATGAAGTGCATGCAGGCGATGTTCTCGCGGGGATTCAGCTTCTCGGCGGTTCCCATCATAAACGAGTGCAGGATCTGGTTCAGGCCTTTGGGCAGGTAGTTGTCCCTGTTGGAGACCCACAGTGAGCACATTGATCGAAGGGCACTTATGACTAACTCACCTGATTGGACCCTCGCAGAACTCAAGGAACTCGAAGACGATTAGCAGCTTGGACTTGATGTCGACCTCGGGCTCGTTTCGCGCATCAAAGTTCAGCGCTGTGCCAATGATGCGATCTGTGTTGCGATCGTAGATCACGAAGCTCAAGTCTCGCTCCACCAACACATTCCAAATGTCCTGCGGAATTATGAGGGGGAACAAATTTTGTCTTGTTAAACCACAGGTCTACGATTTGTACTTACGTTCAGAATATCACTGTAGTCGGTTCTCAACACGCCAGGCTTTAGCCACTGCTCCAGGTCGGCTTTATTAAAGAAGCTAGCCACAATGATGCTGCGCGGGAGTTACGGAATTAGTACATTCAACATCAATGACATCTCTGTCAAAAACTACTCACTCTATCACTTCTTGGCGGTGCTCCAGGCGCAGTGGAACCGCCTCCATCTTCAGATGCGGACAGGCATTCAGCGACTCCTCCTCCAGCTGCACTGAGTCATGGTTGGCTGCCATCTTCTCGATAACCTCGCCCAGATTCTTGGCCGCAATGAATTCGGAAATGCCGATGTTGTAGCCCTTCTCGCGCAGCAGGGTCACCGTGAAGATGGAGTTCAGCGAGTTACCGCCCAGCTCGTAGAAGTTGCTGTGGGGGGCCAAGGTTGCCCTTGTGGAGCGTCCAATTACGCCACCCACTGTCTCGAACAGATCACGAGCCGTGAGCTTCAGATCCTCGGGCACCTGGGAGTAGTCAAAGTCTAGAACTATGCTTGAGTCGCCTTCGTTGTTGTTGGCCGTTTCATAGGATTTGAGCAACGCCTGGCGATCCACCTTGCCGTTTACCAGCAGCGGAATATGCTCAAGGATGACCACCTGGGGCGTCATGTAATCGGCCAGCTTGTCCTTAAGGCGCGCCTCCATCTGCATCTCGGTGACCATGGGGGCATCGTCGCGCAGCTTGACAAAGGCCAAAATGGCCTGATCCACCTGGCCGGCATGGTAGCAGAGCACGATGGCCTTCTCCACCAGCGGTAGTTCGGCCACGTTCTTCTCCACCTCGGAAAGGTCGACGCGATGGCCTCGGATCTTCACTTGCGAGTCGGTGCGTCCCTCGTACATAATGCTTCCGTTCTTTAGGGATCCGTAGTCCCCGGTGCGATACAGACGGGCGTATTCTTGGGGGGTAAATTCGGGTTACAATTCGGAATAATTTAAAGTACAGTGATGGTTATGGTAAATAAGTGACTTAAAGTTTTTGTTATTTTAGTTCAGTCAAAGAAAGGTATATCAACACTTACTCTTCTCCACAGCCAGTGGATTCTCCAGGAAGCGCTCAGGATCGCGTCCGTTAACATAACCAGCAGCCAAGTTGAGTCCCGAAGCAAAGATCTCCCCAATCTCGCCGTTCTTTACGGGACGATAGTCGGTATCCAGCAGATAGACAACAGTGTTGGACACAGGAATGCCTACAAGATTAGGGGAAATGGGTTAAATGGAAACGAAGATTCTGAAATAATCCTCACCTATTGGCACATTGTCGTACAAACTCAGCTGCTTCTTGCTCTCGCACGTAAAGTAGGTGACATCGCCCATTACCTCTGTGGATCCATAGAAGTTGTACAGCCGATGTACGCCCTCGTCAAAGTAGTCGAAGAAGCTGCTGGCTAGGGCCACGGATAGGGGTTCCCCTGAGCAGACCCAGATCTGGAGGTTGTACAGAAGTTTCTGGGCAGCTCCCCCTCCCTCCATCTTCAGATACATGAGCAGCGACCGCAGCAGAGTCGGCACCAGCACCAGACGTCTGATCTTGTACCGCTCCAGCAGGGCAACCAATCGCTGTGGATCCTTGGTCACTGCCTTGGGAACCACGAGAATCGCCAGGCCGCACATCAGGGGACCCCAGAGCTCGGCAATCGAATCGACGAAGGTCAAAGCCGTCTTGAAAACGCTCACGGCCTCGTTGGCCGTGTACGGGAAGGTGGCCCACTGCCACTGGAGGCGGTTGAGGATGCTCTCGTGCGGCAGACGCACGCCCTTCGGCACACCCGTGCTGCCCGAGGTGTAGAGGACGATGGCAATGTGGTCGTTGCCGCCGCGCAGCATCTCCTCCGAGAGCAGATTGGAGCCAGATAGCTGAAGGGATTTGGCATACAGTTCCGTGGCGGAGAGGGTGGGAGTTCCCTGAAAACGGCCCGAATCGATGTCGTCGTCGCGGATCACCAGGGTGGGCTTCGCCTCCAGCAGGATGTGGTGGATGCGGTTCGCCGGGAAGCTGGGGTCGATGGGCAAATAGGCGCCACCAGCCTTCCAGATGGCCAGCAGTGTGGTCACCAGTCCCTCCGACGGCTGCATGCACACGGCCACGATGAAGTCCCCATCGCTGTTGGGCTGCAGGAAGCGGCCATGGGTCTCGGCCACCAAGAGACGGGCCGCCCGGTTTGCCCGCTCGTTCATCTGGCGATAGCTGCTCTGACAAGGCACCATTCCGTGTCCTGGACTATCGGGCTGATAGATTAGAGCCACCTTGTCGGCGTGCCGCAGCTGCTGCTCCTCGAAGATGCGGTGCAGAGCTCTCGGCACGAAGTCCTGCTGCAGACCCTTAACAATCGACAACTGTGGCAGCGAACCCATCTTGAAATGGTGTTATCTGTAAAGGGTGTTATCTGCAGTAGTAAACAATTTTAATTAAATATGCAAGCAAATTAAATTAGGATTCTTTTCTATTTAGTATGTCACCAAGGGAGTTTTTAATTTTCATTATTACTCCCAACTTGTATTATTACTTTATTGCCGTAGTAATTAGTTATACGTGCATATTTATAGCGCATCGAGCTAATGGAGCGCTCTCACAATCAATTATTAGAATAAATTAATTTTAAGCCAGGCTCAAACTTATAGATTTACCAGGAGCATTATTTATTTGATTGAATTCTAGTCTCTAAAGATTGCGAAAATTTTATTAATATACTAGAACTTAAATATTTATTTTTTTGTTGACTTATTGTAGGTTCAAGGTAGAGCAAAATTAAATTTTGAAGTGTAAACCTATAAGTTCACTAAAAGGTTCAGTCACTTCAAGTTAAAAAAACAAAGTCTGAAGCATTTCAAGTTATACAAGACTCTATGACTTAAATGAGTCCGAGTGGTTCGACTTAAAAGTGATTTTAAGCCACTTGAATCACTTGGAAACGATAAAGTTAACTATATGACTTGTAAATCTATAGAAAACTTGTAGTAACAAAATCCAACCATATTTGGATTTGAATTTCTTAGCTACTAAAGTTTGGTCAAGTAATTTGTCTAGCAGTTCCAAAGTGCCAGGCTTCAAATAAGGTAAGCTAAACTTACTTGACATCGGAGCAATTTCTAAATACAGCGCGAAAGTGAAAAATTTTAAACCAGAACGCTAGTTAATTTCGACTTTTAATACCCTTGTGCAGTTATATAATATAGACGTCTGATCAGAGGCGTCAGTGGACCGCGCGTTTTCGGGGCTTGTAAAGGAGCGGCAAATTATCTTAGTGGGCGATTTTTGAGAAAAATAAATACTGTTTGTGCACCACGATTTGATGAGGTAGATTTTTAGATATAAATTTTTAAAAAATTACCAGGGAATACATTTTTTCACAATTATTAGGAATCACATATTCAATTTACTCCCATCTATACAAGTGATCGAGTTAAACAAACAAATTACCAATCATATCTTACTTGTAAATGAGTTAACTTAAATATTATTCTTTAATAAAAAAAAAAATATTTGTCAGTTCAAGTGAACTCAAGGGTTATTAAATACATTTACATCAGTTTAACCCGTTCATAGTGAACAAAAATGTATATGTATAAGAATTTATAACAAAGGTATGCACATATGTATTATATTATATTTAATTTCCAAATATGTTAAAAATAATTAAATATAAATAAAATTAACTCTTGATCATCCTATCGGCGGTATTTCAACAAAGAAATATATTTTAGATTACCAAGTTAATTGTAATTAGCAGCAATCTTGGTTTTTATTTCCTTAGGTGTTATTTCGTATTGGTATTTAAACACCACTTGGCAACAGCCACATGTAATTTTAAATTATGGCGACATTTTTATCTCTACGCTTAGCACCATATTTTCTATAACCTATCCGACATACTTTCATTACTGGTTTGGTGAATAGGGAACTAGTGTTCCTCCTTCAAAGTACGTATTATTATTTAATTCATTTGCATAGCCACTTGTTTGCTGATACTAATTACAGTCAGATTAATAAATGTGGGCTTATACTATGAATTCAGTTCTGTTTCGCCATTGGTAATGCATGTGTATGTACTATATTTAGTATATCTCGCCTAGTGCACTTTATTATGCAGTATTCAAATTATATATTTATAAAATAATTTAGTTTGGAAATGTTCCCCTTTTACATACATAGGTGTATCCTAATCTAGCCGGTCTAGACTGTTATTTAAAGAATTCACATAGTTGAAATTTTATCGCTCGGTCGACGGACTTGGCTAGAAGCCTAAAAAACCGCTTGGAATGCGGCATGTTAACTCGTTAATTGCATTAAGCAATCCAATTGCCCGATCCGCAGGCCCAAGATTGCTGGAGGTCTTTAAGCTGCTCTAACCTTATGCTCATGTTCGTTAAGTTCCATTGGCGTGCCATAAAACCCAGCTAAAATGTCATTGTGCCGACCATTTCTGTTGTCCGAGACTGAATCTACTACCTGTATCTGATTCTGCCTGGCTCCAATGTCAAGCGCTCTAATCCAAAACATGAAGACAAGCAGCCGTCTAGAGGCTCAAGAACGGCAATTACGCGTACCCCTGGCCTTTCCTAATGCTAATCTCTGATTTGGTTTTAAAATTTGAGTGGACTTGCGATCTCATTAAGGCACTCCGATTGGGGAAGCGGGAAAGGCGTGGTCACAGGGAAAAGCGAGGTGGTCAGGAAGCTTCTTGGGCCGTTGCGGTATGAATTAGTTATTTATTTCCGCTTCCTCTCCGACTGAGGAGGAAATGGAATGGAAGTAAAGTGAAGGTGGACGGTGGAAGTTAGTTGTAACCATCGCGGCTGTTAAGCGCCAAGCAGGTTATACTTCAATTGCGCAATATCGAAGCTAAAAATTCGCCGCTGGCCCAGTCTTGTCTGCTTCTGGTTCTGGTTTCAGTCTTGCTTGGTTCTGGTTCTTGGTTCTTGGTTGACTGGCACACATTTTTTGGCAGCCAAGCAATTTACAACGGTTTACGGGGCGTATACGTAACAATTTCAAGGCTAGGCAGAAATCATTTCCCAAGCGCCCATTACGTATGCGCCGTGTGAGTCCAATTAGTTTGTTCACTTGCATACACAACTTGTGCTATGTTTGCCGACAATACATATTTGAGTGTCTCGATGCCAGCATATAGTACGTACAGTAGTACATATATTGTATCTGCATACAATGCTGCTCAAGTCCATTGTTTTGGTCCCGCGGCTCGAGTGAATTCTTAAGCCCCTATGGTGCTTAGCATTTCACATCATCGATTTAATGCATCCAGCGACTTCTGTTCACCTTCGCTGCCTCTGTTGATGAGGTGAAATCCATGCGGCTGATTTAATGTTATTACTGTTGCCCCTGTTGCCATTAAACTAACGAAAAAACCATAAAAAGCTAGGTGCCAGTGGCTCGATTGAAAAGCATTTAAGACCGACACACCGAGCAGAGTACGAGTGCTGCTTATAATTTTCCGCCCAAGGTTGCACTTGTGTTAGATTGTTTTCAGTGGGCTCTGTGGCTCTGGGGCTTTTGGAAAATCGTTCCATAATTATCAGCGTGCCATGTAATTGTAATTTACATAATTATTGGCTGCGATTCGGCAGGGTTGAATGACTGTTGGTAGTACCTCCACAACGGCTGCACTTGCCAGATCAACAACATTGCCTAAGGTCGCTGAGTTTATCTAGTATCTCGTGTCGGTAAAATGTTTCCGCTGGTGGCAGTTCCAAAGAGTGTGGCTAATTAATTTGTCGAACCGTCGTGGGAGGCGGGCGAATCAAAACACAACTGTTCTCTCTGTCAAAGTCCGCTTCTGCTCTTTTATTGGGTGTATTACTACGTTTTTTGCCGTGACTGATTTGCTTAATTGAGTAAAAAGCGTCTAATTTAAGCCATGGTGGGCGCACTGCATCTGCACGGCATTGGGGTCGTCCCCGGTGAGTGTGATCTGTTTTTGTCTGAGTGGGGATTTTTTCCCCACCGCCGCTGTTGTTTTCCGCAGTATTTCCGAGTCAATTGGATGACAAGCCCGTATAGAAAAAACCGCACTCAAGAACACAAAACTAACGATCTCTGCAAAGATTCTTACGTCAATGAGGGAATCATTTCGCAAGCTCATTAGCGAGCCAAGTCCAAGTCGGCATATGCAAATTGTGCACCATAAACAGTACTTGTAATCGATATGCGACACTCGTTTAGCACATACTTAACATACTTAATAGCCGATCACTCTGGCCAATGACTCAATTGCAATTATAAATCCATCACCGTTGGCTACCGATCATAAGTATACGCCGTGGTCGCTCTTAATAACAGTTCACAGATGTGTAGCAAGCGATTTGTTAGCCACGCTTAGACAAATTAAATGTCATTTGCTAGGTACTTATGTTAGCGTTCATTATGTCAATGGTGTGTCTGACAAGCCAAGTGGTTGGGTAAGAACCAGGTGCTAAAAGCTAGAAAACCAACTGCAACTGCCAGCAGCTTCTAAGAAAAAGAGGCTATTATCTTCACTTTAGAGCTGCGCTAATTAATTTACCCCCTGTGTCATTACATTTTATGACCTCGCCCCGCCTTGAATTCTGTTTGCCGTTTGCATTTCGAGTGCATTCCCAGGGAATGAGCCGTTTAGCAAATCAAGTTTCCTTTTTATTTTAAGCATCTCGTTTACTTCCTCGAATTGTGACGTTTTTTCAATAAACTGGTTAAGTACACAAAACTGAGTTACTGTTTTGGGTTCTAGAATACAGAGCAGGTCTCGTCTGTTGGCATTTTAAAAATCATTAAAATTAAATTTGAATTAGTTGATTTAAATACAATATTTGGAAGTGCAAAAAGACGAAAAGTAATTACTTTGTAACCATTTCGACAAAAGATACCTTAGCGCATAAAAATTGTGAAGCGAGGTGAAAACAGTTTTGTTCTCTCCATTAATTACTATTTTAATAGTTTATACTAATTGCCTTTTTTGCTCATTATTAGCTTAATGCATTTTATATAATTTTTGTCGGAAATGATGCAATTTTGTAAGAAAATTAGGAACTTGATTTGGGCATTAAATTACGCGAGAATTATTTTGTTTAAAGCTCCTTAACATGCATGGCTAGCCAATTTGCATATTAATTTAGGGAAAGCGAGCTTATCAAATATTAAAAATTTTTTGATTGTCACGTATACGTACCGTGGGTTCTAAAAATGATTGTCACTTGATAATTTGAACAGTTTTTGTATATCTCTTTCAAATGTTTTTCTGTGGCCGTTTAACACTGAGCACGTTTCGCTTATTATTATTACTTCTATATGAGTGAGTCTACCAGATCGATAACTTCCTTTTTGGTCACTTCACTTGCGTTTCACTTTTGATTTTGGGGGACAACCCAAAAAAACTTGCAACGCACTCTGGAAACTTAACGTGCTATGTACTTGTAAACGGCGCTCGCAGACTAATCAGAATCCCAGCACCCGACTATCTTATATATCCGTCCGATCCGCCGCAGTCTCAGTCGCCGCGGGCTGCGCAGTCGCAGTGCTGAGGTGAAGAATGGCAGAGCAGCGGCAGCGGCTGCGGCAGAGCCCAGAATGACAGAAAAAAACCAGTTCCTGGTCTTACAGCCGCTGCAATTACCGCTCACATATAGTAGTGTGGACGCCAGATTAGAATTTGTATCGCTTTAGTTTGGCTGCCATTTTCAGCGGACCGGTGACGTAGGAAATAGAATGAAATTCCTGGCGGTCCCCGCACTTGCTAATTGGCTAGCCACAGTTATGATTATTTCCCTACCCACTAGACGCTTGGAAATCCCTCGCATGACACACAGCTGAAATAGCGAAATGGCTCGATGAAAGTGAGATAACAACTAGAAAGCCGCATTTAAATGGATTTGTCCTTCAGATGTGTTTACGGTGATGGCAAAATAAAACTCATAATATATATTTCGATCAAATTAGAGTAAATCCTTAGACAAACTAAATGGGTTTTCAAATATTTTAGAAAACGGATTTTTGGTAATTTAATAAAATTAATAGTTTAGTTTTCGGAGGTACCCTGCAAGCTATTTTATAAAAGGGTAGCGAGTATCACGTCGGTGTTCTTGACTTAAGTGGTAATTTTTGTGTAAAATCCAATTTGAAAAATTGAAAAACTTTTTTTTTGTTTGTAGCAAACATGTTCTGCCCAAATATTTCTCATCAGTATATACTCAGTTCTAGTGCGCAGATCTCAATTGCTACTGCCTTTTAAAGCTTGAATAGTATTTGAACTTGAATGTGAATGCTATTACAACTTTATTACTACTAACGCCTTTTAGTTACTCAAGTGTCGAATTTATGTCTGGCCATGCCGGAGGAGACTGTGGCCAACGGTGATTGTGATTTACGGCACTTACCGCCCGATTGTTAGTATTTCGTATCGTGCGAAAGTAAATTTGCAATTAAAAATGGAATTTCAAACCAACCGAGGATCGGTGCAATTTGTAGACCGATGCTGTATCTGTCAGTTAAGTTGATCTTCATACATATGTGAGAGGGACTGCTAGCAGTCATGTTGTGCTACCCATTACGAAGTCAGTGTGATAATTTGCAGTTGAAGTATTGCATCGAGGCGCCTGTCCCCTGACTTTTAAGTCAATCATTACTCAATAAATACCCACTGCTTATGGATGCAGCCGAGCTCGTTCAAATCATAGAAAAAATGGACTCCATAAATAGTCGACAAGTCTGAAGTCGATCTTTGCTTACAGTATCAAGGTTAATCAGTCAATTGATTGAATAGTTAAAGAAAGCTCCGGCACATTCGAATGTCCAGGAATCCGAAATTAATATTATATCCAATTAATCGAGTATTAATTAGCAAATAATGGGTGTTCCGCTCAAGAATCCAAAGCAGCAAATCCAAACAACGATGCGGGCAAAGAGTTTGGAACTCTCAAAAGGCATCATTAAAGTACAATGTGGTCTTATTTGCATGTACATATATTAATTTAATTTTAATGAAAGGAAATATGACAGCTGATCGATTAAATAATTCATTTTCGAATTAATGAATAGCTAAATGACTGACTTATTTTAATCGAAACATGAATTAACAGTTTAAAATAAATGAGGTTAATTTGTATTCTATTTTGACTACCGTAAAGGCAATTAAAACTTAAATAGTTGGAATATTAAAAGTTGCGTTCTTGGCGGCAGTTTTACGATTTCAACGCTAGTTGCATTCGCTGTTGATTGACCATAAAAATCGAGGAATTTCTATATATTGCACTATGGAAAAAAATGTTTCAACATTTGCGCAATTTTATTACTAGAGCGTTGAAATTGTGCATAAAAACTTTAAATATTTAAATACAGTATTTATTTTATTTATATATTACCATCCCCTTGAATGCCTAACTTTATAACTTGACAGCTTGTTTTAAAAAAATAAATTTTGAGTTGCTCACTCCATTTGATTTAATCCAGCATCCACTTTCCTAAGACAGTATCTTATTTACAGATTGCCTTCACTTTAAAGAAGAAAGCCACAATAAAGGTAGAATGCTGATCAATACTCACGATTTAATATTAATAAGTCAATCTAGCATTTAATTAGCTGACATTGTTTGCGTTGCAAATTCAAATTGCTCAGTTTTATCTTTTAATTAATCAATTAATTTTTTAAAATATAATTTTTTCGAATTTTTGGACTTTTGGTACTCTATGGTAAGCGTTCAATAAAACAGTATCACCTTCCTTCCCTCAATTGTTTTATTAATTAGGCATTCTGCATTTCAAGAAACTGAGTTTCATGATCAGAATAATAAATGCCTATTAGGGGGTTTACTGCTGGATAAAAAAAGGATTCACATGCGAATTTGGACCGAAACTCTTAACTGGTATTTTATTGAGAATTGGTTTTAAAGTTGCGTCATTTGTTCCCGAAAATGTTATGGCATCGGATTGCTGCTTAAAAAGTGATCTGCAAGAACTCTCAATAAACTGATTAACGAAATCTTATTGATTTCCATTAACCCGAGACACAAAGAGGGTGTGGCTGAACCAATTTCAATTAATCTGTGGTTCTGCCGTGTTCATGTATCTGGTAGATGTACATATATTCGTATCTGGGTTCAATTTACACCCGTGTCACGTTTCCAGATCGCAACGTCAGCGGCCGTGAGGAAGCATCTTTGGAACCGGCTAGTCGTCGGCTGATCTCGCGCATCCGGACTTCCCCAAAAAGAAAGCGTGACACATGCGCCATGTCATCTGGACAATTCTACGAACCGATTCGCTTGTCGGCCACACTTGTGATTGCCGTTTCGCGAGATTTGTTTTTTTTGAGGCACGCTTGTGACGCGATAATTCTGCAACTTTGCACAGAACCAAATCCCCGCAAGTTATACAAATTGCGTTATTTGTTTAAGCATGGAAAATTATTTTTAATCTAATACTTAATTACATAGTTTTGGGCTAGTACAGACAGTAGGGTTATTGTTATAATTATTTAATACTTAAATTTGTTTAAAAAAAAATCCTAAAATTAAAAAATTTTATTAAAAACATATGTAATAATTCAAATAAAACAAATAAACCTGGTTTTAATTTGGCTTAATTCACATGATACATTATGTGTTACTGGTGACATTTGATTTTTTTGTAGTTTGGCTAGTTTTTTTTATAATATTTAAGTTTACACTTTAGTAAACAGAAATCTTTCACATGGCTAAGCTTTCCCACTTCGTGTTAGTAAATATTATGAAATTTTGAATTTCTTTCAGTGTATATTTGCAGGAGGCAGTCGAACTTGTTTTCGCCCCGACAAGTATTTCCCTAAACAACTCGACTCGGGACAATTTACTGTTAAAACTGCCGCCAGCTGGCGAGCGGCTATCCACCTATACAATTCGACGGTGCTGATTGCTTTCGCATTCGGCTGATCGATTCTTTTGATGTTGTTGTGATATGCGACTGTGATTTGGCCTTTTTTGGCTAGCTTTGTTACGCATACGCCATGTTGGACATGACAATGACAGCGCCGCTTTTTGTCAACATGCGAACCACAATCACAACCATCTTAATCGCGAACGTGTCGAGTGCCATGCGGATAATTATTTGCCAGAATCTGGCTTCTGCACTTACGGAAGTGCCGAGCACTTCACCAACCGTACAGCTGGACCAATTCTAATTAAATTACGCGGCCAATCAAACTATCATTAGAGCTGCAGGCCGAAGCCTTCTATCTACGGACTGTGATATTAATGCATAGGCGTGGTGGCGGAGACGGGCCACTTGCTCTTGTTAAATGCAAATGTCGCAAAATGTTAATGAGGGGATTGTAAAAAAATCGATAATATACGATGAAAAAATAATCTATTGAAAGCAGGTGCAAGATTTAAGACCGGGTCAATATTTCCAAGATAAACAGTTCTGGGACTGCCTCACTCACAATTTTTATTTAATTTGACACATTTGGTCATTTTACCATATACAAAACACACGTTTTGACTTTAGCTAATTTTAGTCAAGGAATACGACTACGGAAATATCAGCTCCTAAACCAGATCGTAAATTACTTACTTTGTTAGCAGCATTGATGAATTTGTTAGTCAAGTTGATTCGGCACCTGAAAAATATTTTAAGTAATTAGTTAAGAATGTCGGTTTTTATATACATAACAGCTTGATACAAAAATATTGGCGAATGAAAAGACTTTAGTTTAAAGATTTCCGTAATCCCTGCTATAAAAATGGGTCATAAAATTTTGGAAGTTTTAAATTTACTTCTGCAAACAACCATTTAAAACAAAAGCCTTATCTACACTCAGAGAAAAAAGGTTTTATGTTTTTATATACTCAAGTAAATTTTTCATTCGACCTACGACCAAGCGGTAAAGCTTTCTGCAGGTTTCTTTTTCTTAATAGTACATTTTTTTTATAAACAAATAGTTTTCAAAAAATTGTATTTAATAAAAATGTACTTTACCAATTGAAGTGACCTCCTTCTTGGGATTCTTTCAAAACGGGCCAACTTAAGAATCTGGGTCGCTACAATCTTCTGCTCATCTATTGTGTTGGCTGTAGTACTAAAAAAGGAGGATTATAATCTAATCGAGTATAATCTAATCAACGCTCCTTACTCTTAAATCAGAGTCCCGATTCCCAGAGCACCTTAATAATTCAAGAAGTAGCACCAACATAGACCCTAAATAAAAACAGGAAACGTTTAATTAAATTAAAATTATTGTTTGAGCAAGATAAAGCTTTCATTAGGAAACACGTGCCAATTGTAGTTTAAAACTCAGAAATCAGACCGCAGATCAAGATATGATCGCATCTAGTTAATCAGAAAGTAATAAACACTACCTGCAAACCTAGCAAGCCAGTGCGAATCGAGTTTGAATTGCCAGACATTGGTAGATAAGAAACTGAGTTACATTTTTTAGCCCAGATATGTTTAATTTTGATGGATATATAAATTAAGTGGACAATATCCCAATTTGGTTTTACTTCCACTACTTTCGATGTATTGATAGATATTCATTTTTAAATCATTTTTTTAATGTATTTCAATACCATAAATTTGGTGGATTATAGTAACAAATATAATAATATAAATCACGTTAACGATGAAAGTCCCATATATATTAAAAATCCTTATCTAACACGAACATTAGAGATCGGTTAAAAGAAGTCGACGGATACGAAACATTCGGTAGTTGAACGTCCAAAGATTTGGCAATAATTACTCCCCTTTACTTAGACCTGGAGCTGAACGGAGGAAACTAACTGGATGTAAAGGCTGATGCATTTGTTGGAGGATTTCTTTACCCACTACCAGAATTTACGAGGACTGGCTGCTAACCCGAAAAACAGTAGATACTGTGTCTTTAAGACTGCTTTCAAATGTAATTTGGATGCCATTACAGGTGCAGACTGAACGCAACTTATGTCGATCGAGCTCCAACCATAAGCTAATTAACTTATGCAAAAAATCAGATTACTAAGATATTCTTGCTATCAACTTTCAGATCGTATTTACTTAATCAAAATGTAATAAGCACCACCTTGAAACCTACTAAACCTGTCCGAAGCGTGTTTAAATTGCTAGACATTTGTAGATAAGAAAGTGAGTTGCATAATTGATTTTTGAACTGAAAAAATAGTTATCAAGTGGGCAAAGTCGTAAAACCCCTGACTAAAGGTGGTTTTTCTTTTCTTCCCAATTTGGTTTTTCTTTTCACCTACATTCAATTTGAAAAGTGCGCATCGGAATGATTTCATATTTTGCCAAATGGAAGTGTTTTGAGTAACTTAGCACCCAAATTTCGTGGTATCGATAAGATAATCAAACTTCGACCCCCATAATATGCAAAAACAAAAATTATTTTCAAAATCATAAATTATATTTAAAAGTATATCTCAAATTGCTCGGTCATGTTAACAATAGAAACTGAGCTAATCGAAAGTGCCCATATATTACTAATCCTTATCTAATACGACCACTAGACATCGCTTAAAAGGGGTCGCTCGAGTCCGGTAGCTAAACATTCGGTGGTTGGACGCCCACAGATATGAAGAGGATCGCAGTGCTACTACTTACTTTTGGCCTGGCCGTAGCCAGTTCCCTCGACTTGGACCTGGGGCTGACCGGAGGAAACAAACTGGATGTAGTGGACTACCAACGCCTTAACAAACTGCGGCACTTGTCGGAGGAGTTTTTTACCCACTACCAGAATGTAACTTTGGAGGACTTGCTGCCCGAAGGACGGCTGCCCACAGTCCAGGATCTGCAGTGCTATGCGGAATTTGCTCAGCTAACCGCAGGACTGGCTACCGGCAGCCTTTGGGCTTTCCAAAGTGAGTAAGAAGGACATTTGATGAGGGCGGCCATTTTATAGAGTTTTGTGAATAGTGATTGACTCATGGGGATCAATACCCGCTGGTATCCTGAAGGGTCACTTCAAGGACCTGGGTCACTACGACGAGTGCATTAGCATCGAGCAGACCGTAGCATCGACCAATACTCTGCTTGGAAAATACTGCCTGGCCAATCTGCCCCTGCAGCAATTGCTCGGGAACTCTGGGATGATGATGTTCAATGTCCAGACGGCCGTTTGCTTTCCCGCCTCCTGCTCAGCCGCCAACATAGACACACTCCTGCGGAGGGTCTTTAAACAACTTATCGGACTGGAGCTGAGTGATAATCAAAGTCTGGTCAGGGAAAGCTCCTGCAAAACTTCGGAGCGTGAATCTTACGACGCCGTAACCATTTTCACTATGTAAGTTATAAATATGTTCATGAAAGGGTTGGCTTTACATTCATTTCAAATTAACAGCGTTCTTTTATCTGTGTTTGGCGGTGTGGTGGTTTTGTCCACACTCTACGACTATTTCCTGTGTGAGGATCAAAGTGAGTAGGCATATTTCCAGAAAACAGGACATCGTTTCTAAAATTGAGTACAATTTTTAGAAAAACTGCCTGCCCTTCTAAAGGTGTTCTCCGCACGTGCCAACTCCCGATCGCTATTCCGCATTACCGCCAAGCCCAATCCGAATGTGATAGAGTGCCTACATGGAATTCGTGGAATGTCCCTTATTTGGGTGTGTTATGGTCACAACTACATTGTTGGTATCACTTCACCCAACATAAACCTATATGATGTGTATTCTGTGAGTATCAAAAGACCCTCGCGAAGAAAGCCTGTGGCTCATCATTTCACTCCAATCCCCAGTGGGCGAAGACACCTTTCATGGACATAATTTATGAGGGCGTTTTCGCAGTAGATACATTTTTCTTCATTAGCGGGCTGCTGGTTGCTATGGTCGCCCTGCGTTCAATGGAAAAGTAAGTTGGCAGTGCATCCTATCCCAACCTCCCCACTTACTTCTTTCATTTTAGGGCCAAGGGAAAGCTGAATATTCCGCTGATGTACCTTCATCGTTATCTCCGCCTAACGCCCATCGTGGCCGTATCTATTTTGCTCTACCTCAAGCTACTGCCTCTTATGGGCGATGGTCCGCTTTTCGGCAACTGGAACTTTGATAGCTACGACAACTGCAACGATAACTGGTATTGGACCCTGCTCTACATTCAGAACTACGCTACTGATCAGGAAGTAAGTCCGCTACCACTTTATTTGAGCACTATACCTATGATAATCTTTTCTTTTAAGTGTTTGGCTCACACGTGGTATCTAGCCATCGATATGCAATTGTATATCATTGCTCCCTTCCTATTGATTATCGTGTACAAGTGGGGCAAGAAAGGTGCCGCGGTGGTTCTGCTACTTTTGCTGGGACTCGCTGCCTATTTATTCGGAACCATGGTGATCAATGACTATTCTTTGTAAGAAATGCTCAAGACTCTCGCTTTTTTCCCGATTTAAACATACTTCTTTTTGCGTTAAAGGATAAACGGTGGAGGGGGAGGAGGCCCAGATGATTATTCAGAAGACCTGTCCCACTATACCCACAATAGGACTTCTGGATGGCTGGTTGGATTTCTGTTTGGCTACTTCTTGCACACGATCCGTGGAAAGGCCATCAAGCTGAGTCGCCCTGCCGTCTGGTTAGGATGGATCACCAGTCTGGCCCTACTTTTCACCTGCATCTTCGCCATGTACCCTTATGGTCAGGCCAAGACCGCGTCCCTTCCGATCCTTAACGAAGCCTTCTACGTATCGCTCTCTCGAATCGCATGGCCCCTGGGTTTGAGTTGGGTGGTCTTTGCCTGCATGCAAGGATACGGCGGACTGGCCAACTCCTTCCTCTCCTCGCCGCTGTGGCAGCCTTTGTCGAAGCTCTCCTTCTGCACCTACATGGGTCATCTGTTGATCCAGAACCTCAATGGTGGGCGCACGCGAGTCAACACCTACTTCTCGAACTACGACATTGTAAGTTATCCTTAGTACTGTTGAATGTGAGAGTTTTGAACGAACAGTATTATTTTCTAATCTCTTTATTAGATGTTGCGTTTCTGGCAGGACTTTGGATTTTCGGTCTTGCTCGCCTATGTCATGTACATTTTGATCGAAGCTCCTTGCGGGGGATTGGAGAGTCTGATCCTGCCAAACCGTAGACCAGCTGCCCAGCCTACACTGCAGCCTGCCGAGTTCTTCCCAGAGCCGAACTCACCGCCTGTTGATCTAGAAAAGCAAGCTCCAGAACCCTTAAGCAACAACACATCCGCTTCAGCTCCTCCACTGCAAAGCAGGATTGAACTTCGGAGCAACGAAGCAGAAAAAGCAACTCATTAGTTAAAGCACCCTAAGATAACTGAGGCGATGTATATAGAATAATATTTATACTTACACATAATATACACACACACAAATATATCAATTAAAGATCTTACATGAAAAAACTGAGTCTGAAAATCGAATCAATCTACAGGAACTAGGAATTAGTAGTTTTAATGGCAGTCTATAAAAGGAACAAAATGAACAGGAAACTTTCCCATAGAACACGCTTTACAAGCATATAGAGTCCTTACCATTTGAGCAGAACGTGACTCACAGTCCGATTGTGTAGGTTTTTTCTGAACTTTGAAGTTGATTGCTGTTATTAATAAATCGCAATTGGTAATGTTGGCTGTTGGCTCAAGTGGCAGACGGACTCAGATTACTACGAATTAATGAACTCAAAGAGGTTTACTTTGGCAACGGACTGATTATCGGCAGTCTGAGTTGAGATAGACTCAAGTGTTTTAAAAGCCTTTTGGAGATGCATATCTGATTGAATTTCAAGAAACCAAATAAAAACAAACCTGCTGCTTGATATAACAAAGTCTGGCGTTTGGGTAATACCGGCTACAATAATATTTTTATTGCTCATTTGGGTTCTCATTGACCCGATAAGAGCACGTCGCTATTTTCGACAATTAATGTTGATTGGGTCAGCAGAAGCAAGAAGGAAATCCCATTTATTATTTTCTTGAAACCAGTCACAATTTGATTAGATAGTAATTCGATGAAATCCAAAGTTTACTGATCCTTAGCTGCAATATAAGTGTTTCTTCTAATCAGCTCAACATGTGTGGAAAAGTGAAAGTCACCGTATGAAATAATTTAAATTTTTAATTTTAAATTAATAGACCTGCGATTTTAAATGTTTTCAAATCTTTGCATTACATTTAATTTGAAATGAAATAAAAGCAAGAAGGGAAGCAAACTTCGGGAAGCCGAAGTAAAAAATAATTTTTAAAAATAATGAAAAAATGTTATTTTGCTGTTTTTCTATTTATCGAAATAATCCTTAAATATATAGTAATTATTTAGTATATCAAAATTAGGCTTTTAGTTTTGTCAAAATCGGACAACAATATCATGTAGCTACCATTGAAACGATGGCAATATGCAGTGCAAAATCAACATAGCTTTAATGTTTTTAGTAATATATGCATAGAAATCGAAGTGTAGTCTTTTGTAATAACTGCAAGGGTATATAAACTTCGGCTTGCCAAACTTTGCTTCCTTTCTCGTTCATTAAAAAAATTTTTTTTACAATATGTTAAAGTCCAAACATTGACTAGTTTGGAACAATCTATCCTAAGTATATACAAATAAATTAATTTGCTTACATATTTATTTGCGTGCGGTGCAATGCATTTCTTCATCATAGCCTTGCAGTGTGTATTATAATTTTGGTGAGAAGTTTGTATCGCAGTGAATACCCTATATTATTGATAAACATAACTCCGTCTTATATCTGTAAAAGTAAACACTTGAAATTTTTTAATATGTTAACGCAGATCAGGTTGAAAACGGCAATAGTATAGAAATTCCAAAACGGCCAAAAGTCTGTTAAAATTTGCTGTTTGTAAGATGCAAATCTTTTGGATATATTTTGAAGTCTAAGTTAAATTATCTATTAAGGCAACGAAGTTAAAAGTTTAAACTTAAACGATTATTTTCTTTTTTCATAATTATTATAAGAAAAAAGATACAAATTTGAATTTAAGGGAAAAAACTTTAAAAAAAGTTAAGATAAGTAATAAAATTAAAATTAAAATAATTAAATTTAATTTAATTTCGATAAAGCTAAAAATAATTTACATATAATAAATATAATAACACAAGCTATTTTTATACCCTTGCAGAGGGTATTATAATTTTGGTCAAAAGTGTGCAACGCAGTGAAGGAGACATCTCCGACCCTATAAAGTATATATATTCTTGATCAGGATCACCTCCTGAGTTGATATAGCCATGTCCGTCTGTCCGTCTGTCCGCCTGTCCGTCTGTCCGTCTGTCCGTCTGTCTGTCCGTCTGTCTGTTTCTACGCGAACTAGTCTCTCAGTTTTAAAGATATCGAATTGAAACTTTGCACACACCCTTCTTTCCTTTGCACGCAGTATATAAGTCGGAACGGCCGGGATCGGCCGACTATATCCTATAGCTGCCATATAACTGAACGATCGGAAATGCCATAACTTTGGTGTTTGTAAAGTTAGGAAGTTGGGATTTTCTATGGGTTTTGTATTTGGCTAATCAATCCGACATGCCGAATTTCATAAGGATCGGCCGACTATATCCTATAGCTTCCATATAACTGATTGATCGGAAATGCCATAACTTTGGTGTTTGTAAAGTTAGAATGTTGGGATTTTCTATGGGTTTTATATTTGGCTAATCAATCCGACATGCCGAATTTCATAAGGATCGGCCGACTATATCCTATAGCTGCCATATAACTGATTGATCGGAAATGCCATAACTTTGGTGTTTGTAAAGTTAGGAAGTCGGCATTTTCTATGGGTGTTATATTTGGCCAGCCAATCCGACCTACCAAATTTCATAAGGATCGGCCGATTATATCCTATAGCTGCCATATAACTGAACGATTGGAAATGTCATAACTTTGGTGTTTTTAAAGTTAGGAAGTTGGGATTTTTTATGAGTATTAAGAATGCATCATATGAATAATTTTGGAGAATATAATTTACAGAGTATTCTGCAAGGGTATATCAACTTCGGCTCCGCCCGAAGTTAGCTTTCCTTTCTTGTTTAATCATTAAAAATATAAAGAACAATCTTAGAAAGTCATATGATTTCCCAAAGAATTTGCTTAAATTTAAACTGAAAGTTATAATTAAACTGTATAAAGTGCAAGTCATTACACCGCTGGTCAACAAATTTTGTAAATTTTATAGATATTTTTATTGATTTAAAAAACTGTGGAATCCGTTTTGTTAGACAAATTTTGATCTAAATTGAGAAAATATTTTTAGCATCAGCCGGAATAAAATCGTCCTTGATTTGAAAAAAACCTAACAATAAAATATTTGTTATCCAATATTTCTTGTATTAATGGCAGATTTGTCTTTTATTAAGAAAAATTTTACCCAATTCTAATCAGGTTTTATTTTTAAGGCTGTCTTCTAATATTAAGAATACATTTTTATGAGTTTATTTAGCTTTGATATTGAAATTGAGGCATTATTGGTTTTACGAAGCCAACTGCTTAAGAGCCCAACTTTTTTGATGACTGGATGTTAAAAAATAAAATTAAAATAGATTTATGTTTACCTAAATTATATGTCTAAAAATGTCGAGGATATCTTAAATGAGTTAAATAAATATGGATAAATTGTTGAACAATAAAGAAATTTGTGTTCCATCCGAATGCAATTAAACTTCTTAATAATACCAAATAAAACATAAAGTTAATGGCCAAATTTTTAGGCTACCAAAAAGATTACATATTTACTGATTATAATATGAAAAGGACTTAGTTATTTCTTAATTTTAACTCACTTATAAAAATAGTTCAAGACAATAAAACTTAAGTGTATCGTTGAACAATGATAAGAATAAGTTATTTATTATTGAAAAATTGCAGCGATTAGTTATGGTTAAGTACCAATAACTTCTACACATTATGTTCGCAACGTTTTGAATGGTATCAACAACTTGATGTCAATAGCCTTTTAACACCCTTGCAGAGGGTATATATTATGTTAGTTAGAAGGCTTTGAACGGTATTTGGCTGTTTCACAACTTTTCCCTTAATTGTGCGATCATAGTAAAATACATCAGTCATAACGGACGGGATTGGACGACTATAGATAGCATAAAGTTGTTATAGGTATGACGAAACAAAATTGTTGTTGGCTCGGGAAGATGAAAAATATTCAATATAGCTCCCAAATGTTCTTTTACATAAATTATTCTTATAAATTCTTTGTGTATTTCAAGTATAATAATATGGCCGAATTCAGCCATTAATAATTACCATTGGTTGACTTAAAACATTTTAGACATTGCGTAATCTACCTGTTTGAATCACCCTGTATTGGTTGTGAATGCATGCCAGCTTCTACGCTCACTTCATTCAAGTTGCGTCACAGACCGCGCTAGTAGTGATTCCCCCGTGATTCTACGCACTCTCCCATTCTAAACCACCAATTACCAGGGCGCATTGTTTTCCCATTCACTAAAGCCCCGTCGAGTGCTTTGCGCGCCAAAATGACAAACTGCTGGACGGAAAGCCGAGTGGAAAAGCACCCGGCTAGCTGGGAACCGAGAGCTTTGCCGATTCCGCTGCGAGCTTTTGGCCGTTGTTTTGGCCATGCCGGCAAACACGGCGTATGAAAATTGTTTGCTAGAAAACCGCGTTGTTAGTCTTTTGGAAAACTTGCCGTCGAGCGGTTGGCTGGATCAGTTGCCCTTGTCGCGGAGAAAGAAAGTTAGTTGTGGATTCGAAATTTGGGGTAATATAACCGACATCGGCGGTGACAGGTCCATCTCGGTATACGGATCGCTTCCACTCTCGTCTTTGTGCCTGAAGATTCCCCTATCTGGCCAACTGCACTTTGCTGCTGCCATTAATGTCAACACCGCTGTCAGCTGGCTGCGGTTGTCGGCGGGGCTGTGTTAATGCTTTTAATTACATGCAAAACATAAAAAGTATTTCGTTAAGTGTTGCCGTGAAGTTTGACATCGGAAATTAATGCACTTGCCACCGCAGGCATTTGCGGGGGCCGACGGAACAGTTCCACAGACCCGATCTATATCTGTTTTTCTCCCCGATCTTGAGTTTTCCGCCGGCTTTTCGGAGGTAAGTTGTGCGACCGCATAGTCTACCACTTGCGGTGTGTCAACAAAGTGAAGGTGTTTATGATTGTGATATTGAATCAAACTCATATGCTCTTGATAATTTGTAAAGTAAATTGGGATGAACACAATGGAGAGCTGCTATGTTTGTAATAAAAATACAACTTGTTAGATGCTTCCTATATTCATTTAGAAAAAAAGGCAAGAGCAGAATAAAAAAAAGATTTTGGCTCAATCTGCTAGACTACGATTTTTTA